AAGTTTGTTAAGAAAAAAGTAAGACAATGCATTAAAGGAAGCAGGAAAAAACTTCAAATCCGAATGAGTTCTTTACAGGACACTGCAAACTAAATGGACATCTGAAGACGGTTGAAATAACTCAACATGACAAATGCAGGTTGTGAAAAGAAGCAGAGGAAACACCAATACACCTACTGGGCTGCTACACTTGCCCTCAGGATGAAGTGTTTTGTGACGTACAACATAACCGTAGAAGAGATTCAACTACTGAAACCAGTCCCTTGATGAACCAGCACCCACGGGTGTACTATAAGCACACAAAGGGGGATACAACAGCTCTTAAATGGTGCAGTATAATACACACCCCGATGAATGCATCTACATCTAAGGACTCACCTCGATCAAATGCACAGATATTTCTATAAAAAAATATTAAAGCTGGAATTCATCGCTAACTCTATATGTTTGACAAACTGATGGTTCTCAAATTTCTCCAAGAAGACTATTGTAATTCTGCCTGATCGTTTGCATGCGTGTTTTGATTAAACAAAATCTCTTCTGATCCGATAATTTTTAGGCATTTACATTGACGCATAATCTAGTCGAATGGTAGATTAAAATATTCACTAAATCTATCAGGCATAGGAAGCATATACAAATACATACAAGATATAAATCTGAATTTATGCAATACATACGTATTTGTATAATTTAGACGTTTATAAATCCCAGGCCCTGAAGATGATCTCAATAAAGATATAAACATTATCACGGTAAACATGTTTTTCTAACCTACATCACATCAGACTACACATCACTATCTGTAAATAATCGTTAATTAACAGTCACTAAATATTACACATGTAATTAAGGTTTTCATAACGTTGAATTTGCAATTGCACATTTAGAGAGAAAATATTTGTACGTTCCCATGAATTTAGATGACAGAGACAATGGCATACCCAAATATGTAAATGTGATTAGGACAACAGAATTATCGAATGTAAGTTGTTTGCCCTAGCTAAGCATAAGCCTTCATGAAAGGGGAGCACAACAGTTTTAACATCGACAGACAATAAGTTTCGAGTGCATATTACTCTAATCGTTTCAATTTATGTTGTGTCTCCAGTTATTTACAAAGATGACAAGATCATCATTCCAACGTTTCTACATTTATTGAGATCATCTTCAGAGCCTGGGATTTATATATGTTTACATTATAAAAATACATATAATATATGAATATGAATTTATAAAACGATGTATACATTAAAGAATGCTTTAGGTTTAATCAAAATATTTGTACTCACTCAAAGTATGTTTTCTTATTTTATATATTACCAACTCCACGGTTCATATCTTCTCTATTGATAAGTTGAAAAATTCCAAAAGTTCTCCGTGGTTGAAAGCCTTTGTTCAATTTAGTAAATTACATGTACGTTTCGGGGTCCTGGCCCATCATCAGAAACTATACATACAGAAATCTCATGGTATAATTCCCAATCTGAAGGCACACCCATCAGTAATTTCCTTTTTTTAAATGAAAGTATTTATACCTGGACTATGCGAATGATACATATATATTATTTTTCCACCCAAGGGTTTTATATACATAAAGAATCTCATTACCACGTGGTATACCAATAAGGGATTAAAGTCGGGGCGTCGGTGGCCGCAAGGTTTAGTCTTTGACACGGTGCTCATCACTGTAGGGTAAAGGTCCCGGGTTCGAATCCAATGGCCATGCATTCAAACCCGACATACTTACAAATGGGCTTTTTTTCAAAAACACCGGCACCCTGAGGGTTTATATGACCTCTGCTGTTGCGAACCCTCGTAAAAAAAAAAAAAAAAATTAATTAAAGTTGTTTAATACTTTAAAGAAGGGCTAATTTGAAACAAAAAGGGTTAATTCTAAATGAAGAAGGGTTAATTTAATGTTCAAAAGAGATTAATTTGAAAATTAAAAAGAGTTTATTTTAATTATTAACTAAAAAAGGGTTTTTTTTACTAACATATATTTCATACTATCTAATTTTTTTAATGCTTTAAAGAAAATATTAATTTAAAGTTAAAAGGGATTAATTTGAAATTATAAAATGGTTATTTTTTAATTCTCAAATGTACTTTTTTACATTTTTGCGTTTTACAGAACAAACCAATCTCCTAAGTTATTTAATGTTTTAAAGAAAGGGTTAATTTTAAATTAACAAGCGTTAATTTAAAGTTAAAAAGGGCTAATTGTACAAAAAAATTATTCTCAAATATTCAAGCAATTTACTGTACAAACGTATATTTCATACCATCACCTAAGTTTTTGATGCTTTAAAAAAAACGACTCGTTTGAAATTAAAAAGGGCTAATTTAAACGTAAAACGGGTTTAAAATTGTAAAAAGATTTTTTTATTCTCATATCTTCATATATTACTCACAGGTGTGCCTTCAAATTGGGAATTATACTGTGAGATTTCTCTGTTTAGTTCTGATGATGGGCCAGGAGCTCGAAACGTACATGTAATTTACTAAATTGAATAAAAGTTTTCAACCACGGAGAACTTGGAATTTTTCAACCTATCAACAGAGAAGTGTGTTTTCTGTGTAGTCGTGTCAATTGTGAGTCGTGTTGAGTGTCAGTGAGATTTTAATGTTTTTTGATTATATATGGCCGATTTTGAAGGAGTGGGAAAGAAGGTAGGGATAGAAATGAACATTTCCATAAGATTGGCTTCTCTGAGGTGAAAGGGTTCGACAATGGAAAATAGGTAATGGTTTGTCGCTCAGGCAGGCCCTGAAGACGCTATTAATAAAGATCGAAACGGCACGATAAAGAAAATGTTTTCTAACCTACATCTCACGATCTTTAAATAATCAGTAATTAACGGTCACTAAATTACATGAAAATGGTAAGATTTGATATACAGGGTGAATTGCTACTCGTGCTACAAACTTCTCCAGTAGATTCTTCACCCTAAAATGAACAAAAAAGTTCATATTGTCCATGGTCCGATTCTCAACCATTTCAGAGTAATTTCGCTTTTTATCGATTTTGAAAGATATCACGTCCTGGCGTCGGAAAATCGTGATATCTTTTAATCTAAACATTTCTCTTAAAATCTATAAGCACCGTTGAAATCCCCGTTAATTTTTAGAGAGAATCAAAATCATAATTCCATTGAAATTTTTTAATTTAATTTAATGCCCATTTAGTATGTAATGCTTAAGAAGTTTACAAACAGCTAGAAGGTCAAGGAAGAAAGACCCAAACGTTTTGCCACCTTCATCTTCTTATTGAAAAATTAACGGGGATTTCAACGGTGCTTATAGATTTTAAGAGAAATGTTTAGATTAAAAGATATCACGATTTTCCGACGCCAGGACGTGATATCTTTCAAAATCGATAAAAAGCGAAATTACTCTGAAATGGTTGAGAATCGGACCATGGTCAATATGAACTTTTTTGTTCATTTTAGGGTCAAGAATCTACTGGTGAAGTTTGTAGCACGAGTAGCAAGTCACTCTCAAACATTAGCAATCCTTGAACCACCATTTTTTCTCTTTTTGTCATCAACATCTTGGTCTCACAACCACTAAATAAGAAAATGACGAGTGCGTTGGAAGCGTTATTAAATCAGGTAGTTTTCCTCAAATTTGCTGCCTTCTGAGACTAAAATTAGAAACTCTGGATTACTTTATACACTTTCCGATTTACACAATTTTCCACTCTTTTTGTAGTTCTGGCTGAAATAAAACACAAAAAATTAGCCCAAACATTTTGCCACCGTCATCTTCTTATTGAAAAATTAACGGGAATTTCAACGGTGCTATTAGATTTTCAGAGAAATGTTTAGATTAAAAGATATCACGATTTTCCGACGCCAGGACGTGATATCTTTCAAAATCGATAAAAAGCGAAATTACTCTGAAATGGTTGAGAATCGGACCATGGACAATATGAACTTTTTTGTTCATTTTAGGGTGAAGAATCTACTGGAGAAGTTTGTAGCACGAGTAGCAATTCACCCTGTATAGAAAGAAGCATTTACGATGATTCAAAGGATTTTTGATTGTAGAGATTGTATACGTCATAGGTTGGGATATTTTTATGAACCCCAAAATACAATGCTGTATGTCCAAATTTGTCTCAAAATAGTTAATAAATGAGCCGTTTATTTTATAGAGTCAGTTTTGATCTTTCGTACAAACCATTTGGCTATCGTTTTCAAAATGGCTATTAATTTCTTTACTTCTTCCCAGATAGTTGTTGCAACATCCATGTTAATAAAAAGCTTTTATATTATTACTCAAATATATAAATATATATATATTAAAAGGAGAGAATAAACAACAAAATCCAAGAAACAAGATTCATTTATTTTTCAAAATGTAGACCACAAATAATACTTCACTTTCTACAAATTATCACAGTATAGACTGGTATTGCTTTATTTGTTCGTTTTCTTTGTTAAATTTTATTATGGTTATTATCGTTTCACATACAGGAAATTCTTAATGACATATTTACATACAATAAGAAGGCACTGTTTTGTTGCATTTACAATAAATCACAATTACTTAATACTTTGTATTTATTATTGAACATAAGGCACGAATCATTTTCTCACAATTCTAGTTCAACTTTCAACCTCATTTAATTGACCTTCTCAACTAGCTGTTTATGATACATAATAATTCTATAATACAATAATAATAAGTAATAATTGTTCATGAGTGTAAAAAAAATTGTTATATAATTCAAAAGAGAAACATAATTACCGACATATTTCAGTTCGCGCAATAACATATTATTTAATAGCAATAAATGAAAATAAAAATAATACTTATGTGAACAAGCAAATGTGAGAAGTTGTGCATGTAAATTATTTTTCGCACAATAAATATTTTGAAATACTGAAATCTCAAGAGTTCTCATGTTCCACTACTTTCTAACAATTACAAAAATAATCTTTGAAAGTTGACTATATTTAAATATTTCAGTACAACAATGTAATAATATTAATAATTATGCTAATAATCATTACTCTTAAAAATGTATAAGCAAATATATAAAAGATAATACATATAAAAACATTTAAGACATTGTTTTAGCGAATGTCGATAGAAAAAAGCGGCACTAATCGGCCGTGGCATCACTGAGCAATTATACCCATCAACATATCAAATGCAATTACATAATAAATTATGTTTCAAACATAATAAAAAATACAAACCAAGAATACTACACCTTACAAGCGTCACTTGCTCACTAACAGAGAAGCAGTGCCGCAATTGAGCAATTTATTATAAATAAATTTATTGATGCTAACACATTTAAATTCATAAAAAAATTAGAATCATAATTATGATTATAGTAATAAAAATAAAATAAAAACCTGATAAGATATGCATAATAAAGCAAAAAGAACATCAAGCATATATTTGCATAAATGTATACTCAATAAATTTGTACATAAAAAGAAATGTTAATAATCCCAAGCTTTCATTGGTAAATTATAAATCACATCATAATTATGATTACAGACAATAAAAGGAAGATAAAAACCTTATAAGAAATTAATAAAGTAATATGAACTTCGAGCTTTTGCTTAAAATAAAAAGTATGCCCAGAAAATTTGTACTTAGCTTTAAAAAAATTCAACTAAACTGTTTGTTCTGGAAAATAACTTGGGAAAACGATGTTAACAACTATACCGGCGACCATTAAAACAAGGTACAGGAACAATGCAAACCACCAGAGCGTCTTTTCCCATGATCTTACATGCAAATTTCTCAAAACATATATTCCAACCAAAAATCCAGCGATTGCACCGGCTAAATGCGCAGCGTAGCCAATCTAAATATAGGTACAAAAAGAAAATTGATGAATTTGCATACGAAAAAGTGTCATCGTGTACTTACTTGCATGTTAACATGAAGAACGTAACGATTTCGCACTGCAGATCCAACATCCAATGTAATTAATGTAAGCAATACAATTAGCTGCCACTTTGCAAACTGCATTTCAGACCAATTCTAGAAACAAATTTAGAAATAAGTAAATAATAAATACGTAATTTTCAGAAGACAATAGTGTTCATAAGAAATTTTGCACTTTTTTCAAATACTAGGTTGTAAATATAATATATTAACTACCCAGAAGCAGGAAACAAAAATCTAGAGGGTGTAGAAATAGCTGAATAGCTCCAATAAATAATCACATTAACTGTGGGACCTGATTCGCTTGTCTTGTTTACCAGGCAGATATTGTCCGAGAGATTTGAAACAGCTGAGAACTTGACACCATGGCATCATTTATAGTAAATGTGTGAAGGTGAAGTTCTCATATTTAAACAGGGATAGGACAAACAGGATGGATTTTTGATCCTTGACGATAGGACTGCATAACAGAAGCTCTCGGGAATTGAGGGGGTGTTGCATATGCATTAGTTTGAACAGCCTGGAGTCATGACCCACCCTGTAGGAAGGGCTTTGACTGCCAGGCCTCATGAATTTGCTCAATTTTCAAGAGGGTCCCCCTTGTCGAGAGAACCGGTATAAAACACGAGAATTGGAAAATCAAATCGGTCAAAGTTTAACTAACGAGCAGAAAGGAGTCAACTGACAAGCAGTGACAAGCAGTGGAGGAGAGCTGAGTCCAAAGAAAATGAGAAAAACGGAGACCTTAGGAGTGCAGAGACATGGGGTGGGTGAAGACGTTAGGTGTGCTAAAAAACAAGGAAAGTGGAGACTCTAGAAGTGCAGAAGCACAAGGAGAGAGGAGACAAGGAGGCAGAGATATGAGGATAGCAGAGAATGTAGGGGTGGTGTAGAGGCATGAGGAGAGTGGAGATAAGGAGTGCAAATGTACAAGGAGAGCAGAAGGGTGCAAATAACAAGAAGAGTAGGAGTGTAGAGACATGAGGAAAGTGGAGATAAAGAGTGCAAATGTACAAGGAGAGCAGAAGGGTGCAAATAACAAGAAGAGTAGGAGTGTAGAGACATAAGGAAAGTGGAGATAAAGAGTGCAAATGTACAAAGAGAGCAGAATGGTGCAAATAAACAAGAAGAGTAGGAGTGTAGTGACACAAGGAGTGTGGAGGTTCTAGGAGTGAAGAGATACAAGGAGAGCAGAAATTCTACGAGTACAGAGACACAAGGAGAGCCGAGACCCTAGGAGTGTAGCGACACAAGTTTTCACCTCTAGGAGTGTAGATACAAGAGAAAGGAGAGAAAACAGGAATGTGAAGACCCTAGAAGTGAAGAGTGGTTCTTCCAGGAGTGCAGAGACATGAGTAGAGTCCAGAGTTCAGAAGAGTATAGAAACTACAGACAAGGAGAGACCGGGAATTTGGGTTATTGCGGTTGAGTTATCAACCGTGGCTTCTCTTTGAGGGACAGTGTATTGCATGTTGTTGACTTTTGATGTCGACTTTTACTTAAGACTAAGACCTCTTTGAGGCGAGGTCGTCTGGTCGATTCAACTAGTTGACTGCCTTGTGAAGACATGGCTGGTTTCACACCAAGCAACTTGTGGAATCGACTTCTCTTCCAAACGGGAGGTCAGTGCAATGTAAGAACTCGAAGAAGCAGAAGCACTTCTTTTGCTTGCTCTTCTGCAAGAGAGAGGCAAAAAAAGAGGCAACCCAGTCAAAGAAAAGTGTGGGTTCATCCAGTTACAAAATCGGGAAACAGACGTATGGTCCGGTTGTTTCAATTCCAAGAAAAACAAGTTGGTTTTCAATGTTACCAAAATTATGCTATAGGATTTTAAATATTGCAAAATGAGCTTTTTACTCTAGCGAAGGGTTTTTCAAAATTAAAAATAAAATTTCATTACCATTATTAAAGTTGCGATATGTGCAGTAATAATGGCATAAACACCACCAGAAGCTCCGGCTAGATAGACCGAAGGGTCAGCGATTGATGTGCCAAGCGATCCAGCGCATACACCGGCCAAATAAATTACAAGCACTCTCCACCAGCCATGGACCATTTCTAACGGAATCCCGAGCAGCAGTTGAACAACAACGTTCACCAATAAATGAAAAAATCTGTAAAATTTATATCATTTTAAAATCCCATTAAAAAATAAATAAAATTCATATATTTTTAACTTACCCAACATGAACAAACATGTAAGTTAAAAACCGCCAAGCTTCTTTCCTTCTGTGGGGATTGTATATAAATAGGTGTGAAGCAGGTGTATTGGTAACATTTGCACCTCTTTGATTATAGAAATCAAAAATGAACACACCTATCTGGAAATTATTCAAACTCATGACTTTTTTAAATATTAATTTTTGGAAAAAACAACTGTTTTTCATACATACCTCTATTAAACTAACAATTATCATGCATAATGTTGGTGGTGTACAAGAATACTCCTCTTCGTATTCCCCGTCAATTTCATCAGATCTCACAATTTGCCTTCTACCCGGAATTGTATGAATAATATAATTTGAAAAGATCCTTTTCACCGTTGTCCCTTCTCTGCTTTTGATCTAAAAGTTTCAATGTAATAATAAACTATAATTGCTTGAACTTAAATCAGTAAAAGTTTATTTATTCTTACTGCTTGCTATTTTTATTTTATTTATTATTATTAAGTTAGAACAGGGCTAGATTGTTACAAGTGGGTATCTGTTTTTATTCACCAAAGAGGAAATCGTGAGGCAAGTTAGTCGGAAATGAGATTTGAAGGTTTGTGCGGATAGTAAGGTTAGATAAGAAGTTGGGAGGATCTTGGAGTGGAAAGAATACATTCTTTGGAGGTTGAAACCCACAGTTCAATTTGGATGAGGGACCAGGATTTCGTGGCACCTGTACCAACTTCTGGCAATTTCAAGAACAAATGGGATCTGAAGGTCTGTATGGGTAGTAACGTGGCAAAAAAAATAGTTTGAACAATGGTTCGGAGGATTTTGGACTGGATTCTTTGGAGGTTAAAAACCACAGTTCAATTCCTAGACGATTGGGATGAGGGTCCAGGGTTTTATGCATCTGCGTCTATATTGATTTCTTGGGGTTTCCAAGGACAAATGGGGTTTGAAATGTGTGGAAAGTAAGTAAGTACTTACGTAAGTAGGGAGCTCGGGCAATGGTTTGGAGGACTTTTGACTAGAGTGACTTGATTTTTTGAGGTTGGAATTGGAGTGATTGGTTGTAATAGTGATTAGTTAACGAGGTGTTTTACAGTGACAGTTTCGATCAGTTGTCGAAGTCTTTTGTGTCGATATAAAGTCCCAAATAGCGGATGGCATTAGTTGCTGAGAGAGGAACAGAGTTTTTATAGATTGAAGAAGAGGTGGATAAGACAGAGGGTGAAGGTTATTTCCAGGAATTTGGTTTTGTCGAGTCTAATCCTCCATTTCTAAAACGATTCTTCCAAACAGGAGAGATGGTCATGGAGTTTTCTCAAGGCCACCATTGGGTCTGTGTTGAAAGAATGGCAGTATCATCTGAATATACAAGCAGTTCTTTCAGAATTAATAGGAATGTCTGAGGTGTAAACTGAATGGGGAACGGGATTGAGAATGCTGTCTTGCTGAACACCCACTTCGGCATAATGGATGGCGGAGAAGGATGTTCCGATTCGTATTTGAAAGTTGAAATTGAAAATATATTGGACTGATAGATAAGGATAATAAAATGTAAGTTGCAAATACGATCCTTCCGTTTAAGGGAGGATACAATGTCTATCACCCTTGGGCACTATTGAATAAGCGTTGTCATCGTAACCTAAATTAATGGGATGGAATGGCATAGGAGCTTTCAAAGATGGGATATCTGGAGGATCTTTTCAAGGATTCTGCCAAGTAATGGCAAAAAATTTTAAAAATATATTATTTCAATGTTCTTACCAACTGATAAAATTCTGGAAAAGTAATGAAATCATCGCCGTTTTCATCTGCTTTCCTTAACAAATCTTCAAGGACATCACGGTCAATGTTATTATCCCTGGTTAGTTCCAGCGTAAACTGGGATATAGGAATTTTTCCATCATGGTCGTGATCGTACTGAAAACAAACAAACAGATGCATTTAGATCAGCCAAAATGTTTGTGTAACTCGATACAGCAATACTCACTGTGTTGAAAATCCTATTCCAATGCTTTAAAAACAAAACAAAAAAAATGAGAACATCAGATAAAAATTATTTAGAAAAAAAAAATTATAACTATTTAAGTATTACAGCTTAAACTGTAAATGTGAGATTTCCTCCTGTGGCTTGTGGGGTGATTTTTTATGTTTGCCTGTCCTCTCTGGGCTGGTCAGTAAAGTTTCGACAGAGAGACACACTGAAGATGGCAAAATCGCAAAAAAAAGCATCTGACAAGCCAAACTATCAAGGATAGCCAGGTTGAAATTTAACAATCACTCAATCATCAATTTTATATAAACAGTTGGCGTAAATTTTTTAATTTCAATATACACACTTACATTTTTGGTGTATCGCAATGGTACTTCCTCTTTCCTCCTGTTTCTCTTTGAAGACATTTTGAGTCTGTAAAATTATAAAATTTAGTCTTTAAATATGATGCCAAAAACAAAAGGTATCTGTGTTCAATTATATTATTTAAACCCAACCAAATTTTATGGATTTTTTTTTTTTTTTTGACATTCCTATTCTATTTTTCCAACAATTTTAATTACCCAAAGAAATATATGAATCTTACTGTGATATTTTACAATCAAATTGTGATTAGACTAATCTTACAAGTACAAAGGGGATAAGGTACAGTCAAAAACAAATAATAAATTAATACTCTAATATTCAATGAAAGAAAATTATGAAAAACACTTCACAAATTATAATTATAAACGGATTTTCATTCAAGATTATCAATATATCACCAAATGTTTCACGTACTATGATTACCAACAGTAATATTAGTCCTTGATCATCTTGGTTTACCAATTTTTGCTTTGTACATTAGTCAGCTTTATAAATAAAAAGAATATAACTCACGAGTCACCAACAAGGTTTGTCAAGGCCTAATCAGTATCCAGATAATAATATTTGTTCAATTTTCATTTTCATTAAAAAAATTTGAAGGGTCTCAGTACTAGAATATTTTACATTGTTATATTAAATTACAAAAAAAATCCTTGAAGTTGGTCCTATATAACATATTGCAATTAAATAACAAAATGGGAAGAAAAATATTGGAATTAAATATTTTAAACTAATCTTGAATTTTGTTTCAACAGTATGGCCATGAACAATTAACCAAGTCGATTACACAATTATTATTATTTTTTTTTTTTTAAGTTAAAACANTGAACGATTAACCAAGTCGATTACACAATTATTATTTTTTTTATTAATTTATTTATTTTTTTGTGAAATGGAGAACTTGTAAAATTATTTCAGAATTGGGACTGCGATGAGCGAGTTGTTAGGGCATCTGACTCTCATATTGCACTTATATCAGATTTGAGTAAGCAAATTATTGGAAAAAAAAATTGCGATTGTCCATACCCCTCAAAGCTGCATGTTAAGCTCTCCTGTACGACTTAACTGTAACTTTTTAATTCAAAATTAGACTTCTCACGCTAAGTCTGAATTTTTCAAATCGTGGACGAATTATTCAGTACCGATGTACAAACCGAAATGTCCCATTTCCACAAGAACGATTCCATATTTGAAGATATCTCTTATACACCAATGCACTTTGTTCTGTGTAGCTTATTATAAGCACGTGTTGTGGGTGCCACAACGGCAAAAAAGGGGGAAGAAACCCCCCTACCAAAACAGCAGCTTCGTAACTCCTACGATGGACCCCTTCCTATTAATTGGGAAAATTGACTTGCAACACCTGACAAAGTTTCTCACTCACGAAGATGCCAGGAGGTTTTACAATAATTTGGTCACGGATTATATTTGACACAGAAACTCAGGATGATGTTTATTTTGATTATGAGGTAGATGATGAGTAACGTAAAACTTTTTAGCTTAGAGCTTTTTAACTTTTTTCAGTTTTGTTTTTGCAATAATTAATATAAAATTATGACCATAGAAATCATTTCAGAATTTTCGTTTCACTTTGTCTGTTCATCTTTGAAATTAATAATAAAATTTCGTAATCATCGTATTTTCTTATTTGTTCCTGGGTTCAAAATGAGGGTTTAATGGTTTTTGGATCATGAGAATTACACAGAAAGAACTCTAAATATTATAACAATTATTGAATCAAACATCATAAAAGAAATTTCACCAATAGTCATGAAACTTTAAATTTAGTGTTTTTCAACTGTTGAAAAAATGGAGCCTCATCATTTTTCCACTGGACCCTACAAATGTGATTATAAAATGTTACTTCTTACAATCAACTCTAATTGATCTCACTGCACCCAGAGGACACATGCCATGAGAATCAGCCAATGCTGGCATTCATGTAAGGGGTTAAGAGGCGAAGAGGTCTCAATGCCACCATCGATTAAGACGACATGGCGAGTTCTTGGGATGGGAAGGCGTAGAGAGAACTCGGACAGTAGGGTTAGGATGGATCGAGTGGTTGGTGTGAAACTTTTGGAATTGGGAACTGATCAGTTCTGACAATAAGGAGTGTTGAGGTCGTGGATAATGAGGTTAGTGAAATAATAAGGAGTTTTGACAATTTGTCTGAGGATTTTTGATTGGAAGGACTAGTTGGACTGGATGTTGGATGGCTTGGCAGAACCCCATAGTTCCACTCCATATGTCCAAAATCGCAGGAAAATCTTGTACAATGCTAGTTTAGTTTTGATGGCCAAGACAGATTTTGGTCCTAGAAATCTTCGTAGTTGTCCAAGTATTCTGTTGAGTTGTTGACTCTTAATTCTTCTATGGGAATTCCATTTCAGTCTTCTGACTAGGTACAGTCCTAAGTATTTGACTTGAATGGAAGTCGGTTATCTCTTTGTTGTTGATGTACAGTGGACACTTTTCTGAATTTGAACGTACATTGAGAACAACTCAGTCTTGTCCTCCACTTTTTCCACTTTGACATGCTCAAGGTCTTCTTGGATGTTGGAGTTAGCTTGGATAGGATTCGAGGTTTAGGACAAAAGTACAGTATCATCGGCGTAGGTGGTGATGACGGTACAGGTAGGTACTATGTACAGAAAAGTACTGGGTGCGCAGAATCAATCTACAAACAGAACTGAGAAATGACACTTTTAATAGTTCCGAGCAACCTTCTCTCTTTACAGGACACTTGGTTTAGCTTTGCCCCCCCCCCAAAAAAAAAGCATTTATATTATCCTAAGTCGGTTGAGCGTGATGTCGCTTCAGCCGATCAGATTATCTGAAAACCTACTATGCTCCTGATACTGAAGTTTTAATAAATAATTACAATTTTTAATATAATCTGTACTAGTTTTTTTTCTGTGAACTAGAGAATTCTTAGAATTAAAGCTTAAAAATTAACCGTGAAAAATGTGAGACAAAAACTTTTACCCTAAGTAGAAAAATAGACATAGAAAGGAAATAAAAACAAATAATTAGTTATGTTGAGACTGACCTATAATTAATAATTGTATTTAAGAGGATTGGAAGGTCAGCTGACCTTCTGACAATAAAACAAATTAATTGGAATACAAGTTACCAAGGAGTTACTTACGGGTTACTAAGATAATCAGCGTACTGTAGCAAGCGTACACTATTACTTTGTTTTATTATTGCTATTATTGCTAACTGCTATACTTTCAACTATTAAAGGGTCAAAAGTATACTGAGTACCCCATCAATCCTAAATTTTGTTAGTCGTATGGTTTGTATGTAGGGTGGTGATGAAATATCTTTGTCCTACTTTAAGTGAATCTTATGCAAAAGAATCTAATCACTTTATTTTGTTTATACTATCTAGTCTGTAACTACAATATGACCTCAGTATAGTTATATTATAATAATCTTCTGATTTCTATTTATTTATTAGAAGATATAGTTATTTGAAGATCATGAGATGCGGTCTGGTGTGATGTAGGTTTTAGAAAAACATTTTCTTTATCGTGCCAACGTTTCTATCTTTATTGAGATCATCTTCTGTGCTCAAAGTGTTTGTTTTCTGTGTAGATGTGTCATTCTTGTGTGTCGTGTTGAGAGTGCCAGTGAGATACCCTCAACACTCTCGACACGATCGAAAGATCGAAACGTTGGCTCGATAAAGAACATGTTTTTCTAAAACCTACGTCACACCAGACCGCATCTCATGATCTTCGAATAATCATTAACTAATAGTCACTAAACACCACACACAGAGTATATAGTGTTCATTTTTACCGATCATTTTGGTCTGGGTGTTATGACAGACCAAACTGATCAGTGAGGACCAAATTAATCATCATCGTAGAAAACGCAAAGTACTCTCACAGATTAGCGTTGGGTAATGTACGCCTTGAAACTGATCGACAAACTTCTATAATTTCGACAATAATTCAAGAACGGAGAACAGTGTCAGTGAAAAGAATTAAAATTTCCCAGTGTGTTTTTTTATTTTGTTTGTAAATTGTACGACCTTTGCAAGGAGGAAAAATAGAAAAATATTAAAATAAAATGGATGCGTCAGACCTCCTTATTTAACAAGAGAAATCAAAGAAATAGTTTTCCTGAATAAATTATTTAGCGTTTTAATAATTAATTTTAATGTTTTTATTCGAACGAGAAAATGAAGTCCAAAACAATTTTTTAATGGCCTATAAACTTAGAAAACCGGTGTAAAATTATATTTCACACCACAAAAAGTGATGATTTTTGGAACAAACCTTTTAAACTTGTTGATCCTTTTCTGACGAGGGGCTGTCCACAGAACGGGGATTATAAATGGGACGAAAAACGGCTTGACCGTTGTTTAAAAAACGGGTTTTGAAGAAGTCAACACCAGATAAGAAAAGGCCTAGTTTATTTTCGCGATTAGTCATAAAACTAACAACAAGAGTTCAAGTGACAAGCCCAACTGACATACAGGCGTCGGAAACAAACCGCAACCTTCCTCAAACCGTTTTCCCTTTTAGGCGCGGGCGAGGGAGAAAAAAAAATTAAAAAACAAACAGAAAAGCCGCCCGGCTGGCAATTTTTCCAAAATCGAAAACACTCGAAAAATGAACAAAACAAAAAGAAAAGAAAAAAAATACTTATTAATTCAAAATTTTTGCGTATAATGGTCTTGATTCTACTTCAAAGAAAACTGACAACGAACCGACAATCGAACGTTTGAAAATACAATTTTCAATAGTTTTTATCGTTTTTCAAAATCAAAAATGCTAATCTGTTTTTAAATAAAACTTAAAAAAATATGCCGCAGGTGGTTAAAAAAGAAAAGTATTTCCAGGCCTAGCAAAAATCAAATTTCTCAGAAATCTTCCAGTGACAGTTTCATTGAATTCAAGAAAGGGCGCTGGATTCTGTATATTTCATGAATCTCGGTTTAAAATTTTATTACTTTCAAAATTAATTTTCTGTTCGTGTGAAAATTTTGTTTTTTGAACAAAAAAATTTTGTTCAATTTGTTAGAGGAATTAGCCTTGGGACTTGGATGCTTAACCTGTAGTATTTCCACGAGCGTTTAAATTTTATTAACTGGTCAACATCATTCATTATTAAATTCACAAGTTTCGTGGTCCGCTTGACCAATTAATATCATAAATTAATTAAGGTTTTTAGTTGAGATAAAAAAGTTAATGGCACGAGCGGGATTCGAACCCACGATCTTCGGCTTGATACGCCACTGCTCTACCACTTGAGCTATCGTGACCTCGATCCACTCGGACACCAACCTCCCATCTCAACCACACCTTTAGAATTTTCCCTTCTTTTTGCCATTTTTCAAATGGCAGTCATTTCATTCGTCGCCGAGAATGGAATCCGATTACACGACATTTGAAAAATGGCAAAAAGGAGGGAAAATTCTAAAGGTGTGGTTGAGATGAGAGGTTGGTGTCCGAGTGGATCAAGGTCACAATAGCTCAAGTGGTAGAGGAGCGGCGTATTTAGCCGAAGGTCGTGGGTTCGAACCCAGCTCGTGACACTGACTTTTTTATCTCAACTAAAAACCTTAATTAATTGTATCATTCATTATTATTAATTTTTAGAATTTTTCGGAACACGGCTTTCCTGTCATAAAATTTTGAGAAATACACTACTACAACAAATCTTGAAATTTCATCTTTTCACAACCCAATAATTTCCTGATCTAATGTGAAAATTATTCCAGAAGAATTACACTTAGGATTTGGGAGTTAAACATTTGATATTTTTACGAGGGGCTTTTTAACAACGCAGCGCTTTTAAATTTTTATAGCTTGTCAACATTTTTTGTCGTTAAATTTCATCTTTTCACAACCGAATTTGCAATAATTAATTTTCTGATCAAATGTGAAAATTTAGGTCAAATTGTTTCAGAGGAATTATACTCGTGGTATTTCCACGAGGGGCTTTGCAACTTAATATCTTATTTAATTTTTTTTTGCTGATCAATATCATTTGTCGCTAATTTCCTCCAACTTTTTTTTTAAACGCGTCTTTCCTGACAAATTTTTGAGAAATACACTACTGTAGCTGGTTTTAAAATTTCATCTTTATACAACCCAATTTGCAGTAATTATTTATTTACTGATCTAACGTGAAAATTTAGGTCAAATTGTTTCAGAGGAATTACCAATGAGACGGGAACTAAACTTGTGGTATTTCCATGAAGGACTTTACAACTTAATAGGGCGTGTTTTCGACTAGTCATAAAACTAACAAGAAGAGTCAAAGTGACAAGCCCAACTGACATCAGGGCGTCGGAAAGAAACCACAACCTCGATCAAATCATTTTCACTTTTACGGGCTTTCGAATTTTTTTTTTTTTTTTTTTTTTTTTTGAAACACTAAATTAATTTTAAGAAACACACTAAAGGAGGTTGTTAGGTCTTCAGTTGGTTCACAAAGTCTCAATACATTTTTATGACGAATTTACTTTCAATTAAAATAAATAGGAGAGCTTTTGCAAAGATCTCGTGCGACTGGCTCCACAACTAGGTCGAGTATGTTATACACTGAGAAGCAAAAAAAAAAAAAGTGGTCACCCTTAATATTTTTAATTACTTCTTAGACAATACTCTATTGATTTCTTACAACAATATTTGATCCGTTTAAAAGGATTAGAGGTAAATGAAACCGATAAAATCTCCCATTTGTGTTTACAAATTGATTTTGTAAATAAACATATTAATAATCAATCTCTTTTTTGTGTTTTAGAGTTTTGTTTTACACATTTTGCACAATACTTTGATGAGCAGCTGATAAAGTTGCTCCTGGGTGTTGAAGGTGGCTTGAGTAGGTTTGAGTCAGGAGATAAAATTATAGGTAAGGATGTTGGGATGTATCGGAAAGTAAACAGTATAAATGGTAAATAGGATTCGACGGAATGCTTCCTTGTGCGACGCCGGTTAGATTCGGTATCGTCCCTCAGACATCAACACCGCACCTTACTTTGAAGCGTCTTATGTGTTAGGTTTTTAGGATTAGGTAATTAGTAGTTGGTAGGAACTGCTTTAGTTGAAGAGTACTCCCGCCAAAAGCTTGAATAATGTCTAAGAAAGTATGCGCAAGCGAGAGACGATGCGAATATCCTAGTTGCTGTAGCTAGTGTTGACGGTTTGCTCCATTAGTGAGAGTTGGGATAACCTGAAGCTGGCCAGTGAGTTATAGAAAAATAGAGGAACACAAAAGATCTATTCGGGTCGATATGCAGAAGGCCTTATGGCCGCCTCATTTATCCCTATCCCTCTCTTATGAGGTTTCTTTCTCTACTTTATCAATTCAGTTTGCCAGACCTAAAGACCAAAATCTGACTTATCTAGTCATGCCCCGATGGTTTAAGCTTGAGAGTGATTATGGAATTTTGAAAATTATGTTGGGTCATTAAGGCGACTATCATCAGTAAGCATGACAGGATAGGGATAAAAGAGGCGACCACAAGGTGTACTGCACCTCGACCCGAATAGATCTATTGTTCCTGTTATTTATAACTCACTGGCCAGGTTCAGGTTATTAACCAGACTCCACAGATTTGCCAGCGGCTCCTTGGTGTAGGATCTTGCTTGTGGTTTTTCTTGTCCTAGTTGCGATAACCTACACCTACATAGAAACATAAAATGTGTTCTGCGGTCTGCTCCTCTTCCTGGCAGTATCTGCACAGTTGTTCTGTCTGTACTCCTATCCGTTGCAGGTGCCTTCTTAAGTGGCAGTGCCCTGTCAGCAGTCCAACCAGAATCCTGGTTCGGTTGCGATTGCCTTCCAGCAATTCTTTTGTAAGTTTTGCGGATGGTCCTTCTATGAATCTCTTCGCGTGCCTCATACCTGCGGTATTGTTCCACCAGGTTTTGGACTCATTAAGGATCCATTTTAAGATTTATCCTCTTTTGTGGCAGGCTGCTAAGCCGCAGTAGGGTTCTGGGACGAGGGAGTCCATACCTTTTTTGGCCATGTCAACCTTTTCGTCGCCTCTATGTCTCGAATGTCCAGGGACGCATGCCAGGAATGTTGTACCATGTTTCATCACTGTGCCATAATATGTTCTAATTAAAACGAGATGCAAAGGTGCAAACAATTTTTTAGAAGTCAACTGAAAAAAAATGTGTTTCTATATGTAAAGAATAATTAATCATATAATATATATATCATAGAAAAACGTGTAACTAAGTGGCCTGTTGGGCGGTAACTAGGGTGTTTCCTCGTTCATAGAATGTTGTGATACGGACGCAGAAAACTGAATAATTAGTTTCTAGTTTGTTTATAAAGGATTTTAAATTTTATAGTGAAAGTTTTATGTTAATTAGGTTCATTTTTCTGTTTGCAAGGATCGACCTCACTTTAGGATAATAACAGACTTGTCCGAGCTTCATCTTCATCAGGCAGTATTCAGATTTTTGTTTGGATTATAAGGTGTCTTTTATAATCCATATGGCTTCGAGGGAGGAAAACAAAAGCGAAGAAAAATGGTTCAGGGGTTCCGAAGGGCGCGACAAACCCGAGGGCGATATGACCAGCATAACTCTGTCGGAATTCTTTGATTTTCTATCATGCGCGTACCAGTTGAACGTTGATCTCGCGGAAAAGGACAGGGCAAATTCGAAAATCGATTGGGATAAATTAACGTCGAACGCCCTTCTTTCGAAATTGATCGCCCTCCATCAAAACGAATTGAACAGAACGAACAAGATGAAAATGGACCAGAGGAACAGGAAAATTGGCTTCGCCTCCGAACCAGAGACCATTAATTCGCATAATCTTATAGTCGCCGGGATACAAGACTATCTCAACAGCAAAGTTGAGAATGTGTTGGACGAAGGCCTATTGGATTCCATAATGCCGTTTATGGTCCCTAAAATAAACAGCTTCGAGTCTGGAAGAAGATCTTCGGACGTCTCCAGGAGAATGAGTGCCTGCGACAATTATTCCTCTCAACAAAACAATTACAACGAATCTCCCTCAGAACCAAACGATATTAAAGAGTAAGTAGATGAGACTTTTTTAATTCCATAAATTTTATCGTCAAGCTCAATATTTTATGCAATAAATTATTACTGAATTGCCTACCTAGTCGAGGACATCTTTTTAAACATAAACAATTTTCATATCAAACGTCACAAACAAATGTTCCTTAGATATGTACATAGCAAATAGGAATCATACTGATGATGACGATGATGATAATGATGAGGATACTAGGAAGCGGGGGTTTGGTATTCCCCAAGCAATGAATCCTGGCTTTCTATTTTCCCTAAGAGTAGTAGGTCATTGCTGCAATTTTTTACGTCTTCTTGGCACCCTAGGTTCCATAGGGTTCTCCAATGAGCAGTAGCTTCATATTCGAATGTTTTGGTTAGGGTTCTTTAATCATGAGTTTACTGTGTACGGCACCTTTGGACACTATGTTTGACCTGGTTATTCCCAATTAACTGGGCTTATATATGGTTCCTCCTCTGGCCAGTTTGTCTGCTTGTTCATTACCCAGAACTCCTTTGTGCCTGTCATCCAAGATAACTGTCAGGTTGTTATGTTTCCCCAGTTTTATATGCATTCACTGATTATTTGGATGTAACTTTTTTATGTGTTATTGCTTTTAGGGCTAATAGGTATACCTTTGTTTGTCTCTCCATTGAGGGGTTGCTTTGCAGTCAAAAATGATATATGTGGCTTCTCACTGCATAATTAGATATGTGTATACTGATGATGTGCAGATGTTTTCTCAGATCATATCATTCCCCCTGGATTTTAACCTGCCTAACTGCAGCATTGTGTTTGCCTGTAGGAAATAGGAATGGTGATGATGAGAAGGTACTAGGAAATGAGGGTTTGGTATTCTCCAAGCACTACAGCGTATTAGTTTAATGTATTTTGCATTGTTCCTTAATTCAGTTCAATTGACTTGATCCTTCTGTTAAGAAAGGTCATTGCCACAATCTTTTGTGTTAACTTCACATTCGAAAATGGTATGAGCGACAGTTTCTTCTTCCTCATCACATAACCTATAAATTGAGTCATCATTGAATATACCAATGATGTGCAGGTGTTTTCTCAGATCATATCATTCCCCCTGGATTTTAACCTGTCTAACTGCAGCATTGTGTTTGCCTGTAGGAAATAGGAATGGTGATGATGAGAAGGTACTAGGAAGTGAGGGTTTGGTATTCTCCAAGCACTACAGCATATTAGTTCATTGTATTTTGCATGTTCCTTAATTCAGTTCAATTGACTTGAGCCTTCTGTTAAGAAATAGTTGGTCATAGCTGCTATCTTTTGTGTTAGCTTCACATTCGAAAATGGCATGGGTGACAGTTTCTTCTTCCTCATCATATAACCTACAAATTGAGTCATCATTGAATAAACCAATGATGTGCAGGTGTTTTCTCAGTTCAAGTCATTCCCCCCAGGTTTTGCCCAGTCTAACTGTCGCAATATGTTTGCCCATTTTGGTGAGTATTTAATCATGAGTTTATTGTGGAGTTCCTCCACTTCTCCTTTTGTTGTGGAGCCATTCTAAATGGAAAAGATATTGTTTGATATTGTTATCCCAATTATAGGGTTTGGGCCTATATTTGTTCTGGTAGAACTTCCTCTGGCCAGTCTGCTTGTTCAATACCCATGACGTTTTTAGGTTATTGTGATTTCCCAGGTTTTGAATGCATTCATCAATTATTTTGGATGTGACTTTTTCATATGTCATTGTTTTTAGGGTTACAAGGCATAGCCTAGATTATGTCTCCATTGAGCATTTGCTTCACTTTCTCAGATGCCAGTGACCAGTGTATATCCCTATCACTCCCTGGAATTTTATCCTATCTATGTGTTTTTTAGTTTTGATGATGGCTGTTTAACTATGAGTTTACTATATCTGGCACCTTTAGAGTTTGTCCACTTCTGCCTTTGTTTTAGGTGGACCCATTCTGAAATGGAGGAGACTGTTTGATCTTGTTACTCCAAGTTATCTAGACATATAAATGGTTTTATCGATCCTCCTCTGGCAAGTTTGTCTGCTTGTTTTATTCAGAATTCATTTGTGGCCTGGCATCCAAGATATTGTCAAGTAGTTGTTTTTCCCAAGGTTTGGATATTTTGGTTGCAATCTTTGTACGTGCTAATGCTTTTAGGATCACTTGGCTGTCTGATCTTATGAAGATGTTTTTTCATTGGAACCTCTTTTATATTATTAACATCAACCAAGAAGAATCTCCAAAGGGATTTAAAGTTAAATGGAAGGAAAAAAAAACATCCCAATGAGAGAATATCCAATACTCATAGCTAGGGATGACATGCCCAGGATATTTGCATTTGTTTGCATATTTGCAAACAAAACTTCCAAACTCACCTCAGTACCCAAAAGTAGTTGGAAATAGGAAAAAGCCTCAACCAAGGACACAATTGTTTGTTAAACTGATGGATCTAGGATGCAATAAGGTACCAAAAGGGGTTATGGAAAAGTGAACCAGTATCTTTCAAGCTGAAATTTTTGTAATTAAGAAATTACTCAAACAAATTTAAATATGGTGTGTAAGGACAAAGGCAGCTGCTAGCATGTCAGACAGCAAGGATAAGAATTAAACTCAAGAAAATTAGATTACACTGTAGTAGCTGTAGTGTTAGTTTTGGAGCTGAATCACAAAACCAAACTAATGAAAATAAACCACATTTACTGAGTCTGAAGGCGTACAGGATTAGAGGAAAATGAAGAAGCAGATGCCCTTGCAAGGAAATTGGCTCTTACACCGTTGATAGGTCCTGAATCTTTTGTGGTATGGGGGTTGAGCTTTAGTTTGTCTTATTTCTGCTGTGTATAATCTATATGCTATATTTTTTATACTAGGGTTCTTCTGATCACCAATAGTGTTCTTTTACTTTTGGGTATGATATATGGTGAGGGTTCCAAGTTCATGAGCCTTAAGTTAACCTAGTATTTCTGTTTCTTTTCTTGGTATTAAAATTTAAGACCATATTATACCATTCTTATTTGCTATTGGCCATTCTCCTTAAACCAAAGTTTGTCGGCCAATTTACAAACATTTTTCAATGAACTAACACTATCGGATTTCGTACCTTGGGAAAAAATCACACTACAAAAATTAAGTGTTTTTTCACTCTTTAAACTTCAAAACGGAGAAATGTGTTTGGATATCTTCCTTGCAGAAAATAGTTTAATAAATGTTTATTACAATCAATTTTTTTTGCAGTACTCTTGCCAGAAGACAAAAGTAAAGCATCAAACATTTGAAGGAAAATTGATCCTCTATTCCTCTGTTAATTAAGTTCTACTGTATATATCTTGATTTAAATTAATTAAAATGAAAAACAAAACTTAGAATATGAAGTGCAAAAACCTGAAAATATAAAACTAGATTAATTGTAATGTGGAAGTTTTCAATAGTCCGATAGTCAGGCCATATTTTATACAATGTCAAATCTAGATATGGACGATTATTATTTCGATCTATTATTATTTAATTTCATTTTAATTGTTTAATTATTTTTCTTTTCCAGGGTAGAAATTGATATCCAGGTGTGCGATGAGCTTAGGCACAAAACAAAAATGTTTAAATGCCCTAGGGACATGCTCCTTGCGAAAATGCAATACTTTGCAGACGTGACCTCAGGTAAAGTTATTCTCATTAAATACAAAATGTATAAAATAGTATTCATGTAAGTACTGACAATAATGTGTCATATAGGTCAAAAATTAGAAGACATGGATATATCTGTTCACTGCGATTTGACAATATTTGAATGGCTCATGAAATGGGTTAAACACACAACACCGGATAATAAACCTGCCCTATGTAAGGCACATTTTTTCACAATGTTTTATATTTCATTAATTAAGTCTACAATACTAATATTATTTTATTTTATTTTTCAATGATATTAATTACTTTTTCCACAGTGTTTTATAACAAGCTTGCATGTTCCATTAAATAAACTATTGCTAATTAATGATTACATTAATCGGTATTGTGTTTGCAGTTATCCAGAATGTTGTTCAAGTTTTAGTATCAGCTACATTTTTACAAATGGAGCCATTGATATCAGAATGCATCGCTTTCCTTCGACAAAATGTTGATGAAGTTATAAGAACAGCATCAAGTAATCTATCTTGTTTGAATGATACTGTAATAACTAAGTAAGCACTAAAACCCAATTCGTTACTCCGAGTCAATTGTAACAGATTCTTTTTTAGGATAGCAGATGCTTTAACCAACGTTGAAGTTGATGCAATGAATGATCCAAAAGATAAAATTCAGTCTCGGCTGTTTTGCAAATTAATCATTTTCCTAGCTAGCAAAACGAACGATTACAAAAAAGGTCATTTTTCTTCGATAGCTTATTTGTATAAATGTTCCCTTTGCCATAAAATCCTCCACAATGACTATGGCCATTACCTACCTTGTCTACCAAAAAATATCAAGCTGAATACATCCGGAACTATGGTCGGAATGCATGAAGTGTATGTCTCTTCATAATACTCTTGTCGATTTATTTATTTATTATTGTTTTGTTTTATTAAAAATAGATTTAATTTTTAAGTGATGAAACGTGGAGCTTGAACGCATACATCAAAGAGCTGAAAACCGAATTAAAGACATGGAGAAAAGTCTATTGGAAATTGTACGGCAGGTGCCACTATTTAAAGTGTTCACATTGTTCATGCTACTACTCTATCTGTTACACGAACTGGTGTCGTTACCATGAACAGTTTCCTCAGTTCTTTCCTTCTGAACAAGGCAAATCCACTTCATTTGTTGGTAAGTGATTTGATAAAATTAGTCTTCATTGATAAAACTAACTAACTTCATGGAAAAACGTTGAAACATGAATATGTAACCTAACCTTACTCTGTCCCTAAGCCTAACTACACTAACCCTACTTCACCTAATCTGTTCCTAACCCTAACCCAACCCTACTTAACCTAACTTGTCCTTAACCCTAACCCAACCTATGTGTACCTGATCTTAACTAACCAACCCTCGTTAGCCTAACCTGTCCCTGTCCCTAACTCAACCCCTGTGGCCGTAAACCTAACTAACCAAACCTACTGAACCTAATCTGTCCCTAACCTATGTTAGGCCTAGTCCTAACTAACCTCATCTTACTTAACCTAACATGTCCTTAACCTAACCCATCCCATGTGTCCCTAAGCCAAACTAACCAACCCTTCTTAACCTAACATGACTCTAACCCTAACCAAGCCTATGTGTCCTTAAGCCTAATTAACTAACCCTACTTAACCTAACCTTTCTCTTATCCTAACCCAACTCATGTGCATTTTTCAATAATGCGAAATCAATGATTTGAAAATGGTCTCACAAAAAAAAATTGCGTATCTATCTCCAAAACATATCCATGTTAACATAAAATATCTACAACCATATTTACCAATCTTCTTATCAATTTTTAGATTAATATGCTTTTAATTTATACTATAAAAGTGAAATTTTGTCTACTACTAGGTAAATATATGTGCTGTGGAGCCAAAACTTATAGGTTTGAGATTCTACCGACTCCATCTGTAAGCAATGAAATTAATTGTGCTAGTATTGAATTAAATTTTTTGCTTTTAATATTAAAAAGTAATTTATTGTAAAATTTGAAGAAGATTTTAAATTATTATTTCATTCTAAACAGGGGTGTACATTCAGGCCTCACCGCCCCCAATTGGATTCACAACTTAGACAATTATTATTTATATTTGATGGCCATTCCAAGCTCATATGCATCAATCCACCAAAGACAAAAATAACTTATTCAACAAGTAAGACCTGTGAAAGCATAACTGGTATGCAGTAATTGTACTGTCTTTTATGCCTGACATAATTCATTTATAAAACTTGACTATTTAACTTTTCAGACGGCTACGATGTCAACTCTGACACTATAAGAAACGAATATTTTTGGTGGCATGAGTTAAATCTAACACACAACACCTTACAAATGACTCTACACAAGCACATTGCAGCTGATGTGTTGGAAGATGAACATGAAGATAATGATGATATTCAAGGTTGAATTATGATAACAATTTTACTAGAATATTTCAAAATGAAAATTATTATTTTAAGATGCTGAAAACAATAGTAACAGTTCAAAATCCGCCAATAATATACTGAGTGAATTTAGTTCAGAAATTTACTCGTCGAGCGATGAGATTGATAGTTCCAGTGTTGATGAGGATGATGTGTCTGATGAAGATTCACCGACTCAATCTCACACCAGCCATTCCAGACGACGAAAACGATATCGCAATAAAATTCATGCAGTGTGAGTTTGATCAACCTCTTTTTAATAAAAATGACTTAAAAGATAAATAGATAAAATTATGTACATGATTTTTAGAAGGCGTGCACAATTCACTAAAAGATGGCTGCCAAAACTCTCTGTGAGATGCAATCAGGATAATCAGAGAGACAAAGAGGAAAGAATAATGAAAAGCTACGTCCAGAAATTGACAAATCGACCATCAAATACAAATTGCAGCGAGTTGAATAGATTTCAAACTAACGGTTTTTACTCACGTTGCCCATCGCAGGATGATTTAAAATTAGCAGGTTTGTAATTAGTATTAATAAATAAATATAAAAATAATCAATGCATTAATTCTAGGTGGGACATATGCTCAATTGGAGTTAGAATGGAGGGAATCGTTGAAACAGCCAAGTTCACCAAAAAAACGCTCTAGTTCTTTAAAAGTAAAAATATCAGGGAAACAAACTGGCTCTTGATACCTGCTTAATTTTAGGCTAACAATATATACCATTGTTTTTAAATTTATCTCTCAAAATCAATATGTTAAGTAATTTGTCTTTAAATATAATTTTCTATTAAAAATTATTTAATCTATCTGCCATTATATCAATTATTGTTTTAGAGAGTATAGTAGATAGTTCCAGATTCTGAATTTGTCATATAGACTAATTTTCTTTGCATAATTTACTGTGAGAAATTGGACCCAGGATGGATTAGTGGCAGCATCTAGTCACTACTGTAAATAGATTTACCTTTATTGACTATTATTAATATATGAGTGAATGTCTATTATTTTGGTCTGCCTATCCTCCCCGGTTTTTTCGTGTCAAGAAGCATCTTCATGGAAAAGATTGAGAGTACAAAGTACAAGCATGGTAAATGACGGATATAACTTGTGGAACTGGAGGTTAACCTAAGATCCATCAAAAGATTGGACAAGAAAAAATGTGATTGAACAACAATTAATAATGAAAAAACAACAAATCAGAAACGGAACTCTTGGAATACCAAAGTAGACCAAATATAAAAAAACTTAGAAAAACAGGCCTTTGAAAATGGAAAAACATGGATCAAAATTAACTAAGGATAAAGTCTCAACAATGTGGTTGAGTGATATAAACTTCTAAATGATATTGTTCACATTACGGTTTTGTGTTCGAATCCTGGTAATAGCTCTTGGATTGCACTCCAGAAAAACTATTTTAAAGTGGTTTGTGAAAACCATTGGGTGTAGTTGGAAATTAAGCAAAAGACAACAAAGTCCAATATCCGCTTCATCCCAACCAACTTCTACAAACAAACTTGTGACTATATTTTCTCCACTTCACAGAAAAACACTGAATCATAGTAACCTAACCTAACTAAATCTAACTTAACCTAACCCAACTGATTCTAGCCTCACCCATCCTAATCTAGCCTGTCTTAACCAATATCCTCTTCATCCCTCATCCCAATCAACTTCAACAAGAAAGCTCACAATTCACACATATCTTCTCTGCTTCACAGAAAAGTGAATCATTGTAACCTTACCCTACCTAATCTAACGAAAACTAACTTAACCTAACCAAATCTAGCCTATATCCGTTCCTTCCCTCATCACATCTAACTTCTACAAGAAAAAAACTTATTAAAAACATATTATTTCACTTCATGGAAAAACATTAAATCTTGGAAATGTAACCTTACCTAATCTGTTGAATCTAACCTAACCCAACTAAATCTAAATTGTGTAAGCATCCAATTTAAGGATGAAACTATAGCAATAATTTACAGCATGCAAATACCAATAATTGACCAATAATACTATTTAAATTTACCCGCAAAACATTTAAATTTTTTTTAATCCAAACTAAAAAAATTTACTGATGAAAGTGTTTTCGGGTTTAGCGGTATTTTGCTGTGTGGTCACTTCTTTCTCATTTTCATTGTTGTTCCAGTGTTTTATTAGTTTAAATTTTTCCTGTCACAGTTAAACCACAAGGAAATGAAAGAAAAAGAAGGTTAAAAAACTTGAAAAATAATTTTATTTTACAGCTGTAAAATTATAGTGTAATGTAGTATTAGGTGTTCAAGGATAAACCTTTTAGAAACTATATATTAACTTAAAAAACAAAAAACTGGGTTAAATAAAGCAAATAGCAATAAAGCGGTAAGTAGTTAAAGACAAATTATTTTTATCCTTTGAGGGAAGATAAACCAGCCCTCATAACTTCATCAACAAGGAGAAGATTGCTGGCGACGACAACACTGAAAGAAAAATTGAGAAATTAAAACCATTTTATGTTATTGAACGAACTTAATCAAACAATTTACCTTGATATTATGGATTGCCGTTTAACAGAAAAATTGTCGTACACTCCGACTTGACTCGGAATCATAGGTTTGCCGGTGTCAATGTCCAATCCGAATTGAAACTTAAGAGAATCCTTTGATTCGACATCGAGCAAACCAATAATTTCCTGAGGATCATGGCCTCCGTTCACAGCTGAAAACATTGAATAAATAAATTTCAAATTCAATTTAGCATAAAAAATAATACAGGAAACTAAATTACCAAGTACTTTCGGGATTATAAGAAGTGCATCTGCAAATGCTTTGATACCAACTTTATTTCTATCAGTAATGCTGTCAGCGTATTTAAGCAGTTCACGTCTAAGCGATACTTCAATGGCACCACCGCCAGGAAGTAAGCAACCTTGAAAATTATGTATAAAATTAGAAATTTGTATAGAGATAAAAGATGTATAGAGATAAATTTCAATAAAATACCATCGTCGATGGTGTTCTTGATAGCCCTCAAACCGTCACGGACTGCATCTTTTATCTGAGTAATTGCGTATTGTGTTGGTCCGTGGATAAGGATGGTAACGCTCTGTGGTTTAGCACATTCCATTACAAAAGTATACTTATTTTCACCCTGAAATTCATATAAAATAAAATTGTAAAAAATCAAGCCTCAATAATCTAATTAATTATAAAATATACAAACCAAAACATATTCATAAACAAGACCAGCATGCCCTAAGCAATCTTCAGTTAAATCATCAACACTGTTCATTGGAGCACCTCCACAAGCAAGGGTCAATCTTTCCATATTCCTCTTTTTAGCCCTTCTCAATGCCAAAATTCCCTCTTTCGCTAAAGCGTCTAGAGAAATCGGGTCAATTCCCTTTAAAATAATAAAAATGATTGATGCTAGTTACAAGCCATAATTGCAAATATTCCTTTTTTTTAAACTATTTTAAACCTTTTGATTTATGACGACAAAGCCCTTGTCGGTACCATCACAGACTTTCTTCTTCAATTCTATTATCTTGTTAACCCTCTTTTGAATAAATTCCCTTTCAGACAAAACAAGTTTATCTCTTTCTTCAGCTGACTTGTAGAAAAATCCTGAATTCACCTCACTGCAAGCAATTAAAAATTGAGTTGAAATTAAATTAAAAAAAAAAAAAAAAGTTAAGTAAAACATACGTCTTTTCATATTCCAAGCTAACATTACAAGTGAGAATGTATGCATTGGTCAATCGTTTGGGCATATTCGGATGACGAGCCCCATGATCTAAGACAATGCCATCAACCAATTTTGTTTCAGTTTCTAACTTGGATTTCATAGTCATAATTTCAACCATGTGGAGATCAATGGAATTTCCGATTTCTTTAACCGCAAGGACAGCATCAACGCATGCCTATTAATGTAAATCAGAGAATAAACAAAATATTTTAACAAATGAAAAGTGAAACAAAAATACAATACATCTGTCAGGATATCGGCCAGGTGAGAAGGAAGTTTGGTATTAAGTGACGTTTTCGCTACAGCGTACAATAAATCCCTCTCTCCATTGTAAGGCAATTTGAAATTTTCAAGAGCTTTCAAACAATGATTGCGAGCCAAACCAAAACCTTCTGTAATTGTTCTTGGGTGAACACCCTGGGAAAAAAAATAACAGAAGAAATCATTAAAAATTATCCTTAAATATATTTTTAAAATAAGAAACATACCTCTGATATGTACATATCAGCTTGTTTTAAAAACTCGGCGATCATTAGTACTGTAGAGGTCGTACCATCGCCAGTATTGTCATCCATGGCAGTGCAAGTTCGTGCAATAAGGGCTACAGTAGGGTGCTGAATTTGCTGTTAAGTAATAATACAAAAATATTAACAAATTTTGAAATATTTCCACTATAAACGTTAAGACCATTTGTTCGAGTGTTGTTTGTGCTACAGAGTTAGAGGAGTTTATGCATATTCTCTTTATGTTTCAATAAAATGCATTTAAATAAGAAGGATGGGTAATCAAAACCAGGTCTCAGGTATTCTTGGGTTTATTTTAACTACTAAAGGAACAGTGAATTTAAGGTCTTCATAATCTAAGCAACACAGCTTTTATAACAATTTTTAACATGGATATGCTTTTGGGCTGGATAGACAATTTTTTGCATGACCATTTTGCGGTGTGCATGGGTTACATTAGGTAGGGCTAAGATGCTAGTTTTGGTAGGATTTCAATTACATTTTGTCGCGTAGAATAAGACTAAGAGTTAGGTTACATATTCATGATTCTATGTTTTTCAATGAAATGGGGAAAATATGTGAGTGTGAAGTGCTATTATGAGTGGTCGTAAAAACTCAACGAAATGAACTTGTTCAATGAATGGTTCCACATTGAATCTTACAACGAACTTGTTCAATGAAATGTTCCTCATTGAATTTTTGAATGAACTTGTTCAATGAACGGTTCCACTTTGAATCCTGCAATGAACAGTTCTACATAGAATCCGGTAATGAACTTCTTCAATTAACAGTTCCACATTGAACCTTGCAATGAACTTGTTCAACAAACTGTTCCACATTCAATCTTGCATTGAACTTGTTTTTATGAACTGTTCCACATTGAATGAACTTATTCAACAGAGTTCAACATTCAATCTTGCAATGAACTTGATAAATGAACGGTTCCAAATAGAATCTTGTAATGAACTTCTTCAATTAACAGTTCCACATTGAACCTTGCAATAAACTTGTTCAACAAACGGTTGTGCACATTGATTCTTGCATTGAACTTGTTCAATGAACGGTTCCACATTGAATGAACTTGTTCAACAAACAGTTCCACATTGAATGAACTTATTCAACAGAGTTCAACATTGAATCTTGCAATGAACGGTTCCAAATAGAATCTTGTAATGAACTTCTTCAGTTAACAGTTCCACATTGAACCTTGCATTGAACTTGTTCAATGAACGGTTCCACATTGAATGAACTTGTTCAACAAACAGTTCCACATTGAATCTTGCATTGAACTTGTTCAATGAAATAGAATCTTGTAATGAACTTCTTCAGTTAACAGTTCCACATTGAACCTTGCATTGAACTTGTTCAATGAACGGTTCCACATTGAATGAACTTGTTCAACAAACAGTTCCACATTGAATCTTGCATTGAACTTGTTCAATGAACATTTCCACATTGAATGAACTTATTCAACCCAGCTCAACTTTGAATCTTGCAATGAACGGTTCCACATAGAATCTTGCAATGAACGGTTCTACATCGAATCTATCGCATCGCTTTCTATGAGGACTCAGTTGACTCAACTAAATGACTGATGTGAAGGATTAATGTTCAGTTACCGTTGTGTTTTTTGGTTAAATCAACCAATGCAAATAAAAATGCGAGTAGGACGAGTCGACTGAGTTTGAAGGGATTCTGCTGGTTGATTCCCTAACCCTTCTGAAGGTTCAGAATCCGTCCAAATTTAATAAAAGGTGCGTTTACAGGGTAAAACCATTTCGAAGTGTAAATGAATCTCTTTCGGTTTAACTGTCATTAACGTTAGGGGCACCGTTTTCGATTTTAAAGGAGTAACATGTGCGCCGGGTGTTGGCCGTTTAAAGGTTGGAAAGGAGTATGGGGTATAAATCGTAAAATAAATCAAATCTACTGTTAAACAATGCGGAAAATATTAAAAAAAGAATTATTTGGTTGTGTAAATACCATGTCGTGCAGCAAAACGTTTCCGTCTTTCGTGATGCGGATTTCGCCGGACCCGGAGACGAGCCTGTAACAAAGAAATTAATAAATTAAAAGGGGAAATTTTCGTAAACGTCTAGGTGTCGGGTTGAGGCGATACTTGCATTTTCATCGTCCCTTTCGGCCCCAAGTTGGTCTTCATCACGTCCTGGAGGCCCCGGGCCGCTGTGATGTTGAGGTTCAACGCCTGGGCGGCTTTCACGTATTCCGCCTTCGGATTCACGTAACTAATAGAAGCCATCGTTTTATTTAAACGAGTTCAAACCCGGTTTCAAAATCTGACGGGATCTCAAAATTTATCTATTTGTCAAAAAACGAAAATCGGCTATCACGTGTTTGCAGTTTTGGACGATTGAAGGCTTAGCGACCTAAACAGCTCAATGTGGGAGGATAAGTTACAGTGTTGCCGGCTGAAGAAAAAACAAGGCGGCCCTCAACAGCAGAAGTACCTCACAAGAAACATTTCCATTGCATAGAAAAAGTCTAACCCGACAGATTTATTTCAATTCCAGTTCTTTACAAAAATAAAACAATTTTTAAACAAGGAAATACTACCAAAAAACTAACTTTTCCTGAATGTTACGCAATTTTACAACTTTGGCGGTTAAAAATCGATATACGACACCCCTTCATCCAATGGACTATTCAACAAACATAAAATAAATGGGGATGACTATTTAGAGATCTTGAGATGTGGTCTCGTTTAAAAAAACATTTTTTAATCGTGCCAATGTTTTTAAGCTGGTAGGAATCATTTAAGTTTATAGAAGAAGCCAGGTACCATAGATTTTTCCTAGACATCGCAGAGCAGTTGCATAAGGTATGTGTTGAACAAAAAAGTTATGCTTGTCCTGTTAAATAGAATTCCAGAATAAGGTAATAAGGAAGGGAAGAAGTGTTTAAGTTCATATAGGATGCCTGGGTGCCAGAAATGGTTAAAACGAGTCTCGAGGATTTTGAACGTCAAAGGAAGAAGTTTGATGGGTCTATATGAGGGATATATCCATGTCTATATTGTACAGGTATGCCTTTTCTAGCTATCCTAGATTTTTTAGGAAAACATTTTCTTTATCGTGCCAATGCTTCGATCTTCATTGAGATAGTAATAAGACACTCGGCTCAGGTGGAAATTGATTTGGGTGAGGATAACAACGCTCCGTGCTTCGAGGCATACACAAATGGTAGTCGCATTGACGAAATGGTGGGATTTGCAGTGGTCATTTACTGACCACAGAAACCAAATACAAGTTTTGCAAAGAAAGTTTGCATCATACCAACAGTCAGGCAGAGCTACTAGCAATAAATAAATGAGGCCTTAGGATGGTTTTTACGCTACAACAGTCATGGTGAAAAAACTCTACAGCTGAAAACAGATAGTGCAATCACCTTTGCTGTATTTCAAGACCACACAAATCACAACCTAACTGCAGAATCTATTAGGAATATGCTGTGGGAACTGCGGAAAACTCTGGAATAATCTGGATTTCAGTACGGTCTTGATGAAAAAACAAATTTAATCATTATCTGCCAAGCTTTTGATCTATTTTAAGGTCATCATCAGGGCAAACAATCTTAATGATGTTTACAAATGGGCATAATTAACTTTTTAATAGATAGTTTCAAAATGCTTTTTTGAGCTATCATAGACTTTTCCTGGGCATTGCAGGGTAGTTGTCTAAGGTATAAATTGAACAAAAAAATATGTTTTTCCTGTTGAATAGAATTCCAGGATAGGTTAATAAAAAGGGTAGGAAGTATTTAAGTTTATAGAAGATGCCAGGGTACCAAAAACTATTAAAAACCTGGGTGTCACACCAAAGAAATTTCCTTTTTTCTCTAGAGCAGAGATAATTGTAACGACTCCTTACCGTATCATACGATGTGAAGACAGGCCAGTTGCATAGGATAAATGTTGAAACAAAATGTTATGTTTTGCTGTTAAGGGCGGGTAGGAATCATTTAACTTTATAGAATAAGCCTGGGTGCCAGAAATGATTAAAACGAGTCTTTTGAGTATTTTGAACATCACAGGAAGAAGTCTGAACTCTGATGGGCTGAACGAGGAGGATATATCTAGGTCTATATTGCACATGCTTTTTTGAGTTATCATAGACTTTTCCTAGGCATTGCAGGGTAGTTGCATAAGATATATGTTGAACAAAAAAGTTATGATTATTCGAAAATCGTGAGATGCGGTCTGGTGTGATGAAGGTTTTAAAAAAACATTTTCTTTATTGTGCCAATGTTTCAATCTTTATTTGGGGGGCCTGGGATTTATAAACAATCTTTGAATTTTACAAATACACGTAGGATGTGGAAAAAAATTATCAATTTATACAATGCTACAAAATTTTAGAAAAAAAATGAATGAATTTACACAATGCTAGAAAATTTTAGATTCAATCAAAGTATTCCTAAAAAAGTTATGTTTTTTCTGTTGAATAGAATTCCAGGATAAAGTAATAAGAAGGGGTAGGAAGTGTAAGTTCCTGGGTGCCAAAAATGGTTAAAACGCGTATCGAGGATTTTGAATGTCAAAGGAAGAAGTTGGATGGGTGTGTATGAGGGATATATCTAGATCTATATTGCACAGGTATGCCTTTTCCACCTATCATAAATTTTTATTAGGCAATGCATAAGATAAATGTTGGAAAAAAATTATGTTTTCCTGTTAAATAGTGGGGGCTGTCTGGGGGGGATCTGCTTATGTAGGATTATTTGATTTCTTTGTTGTTACCATTGACTTTTCCTAGGCATTGCAGGGCAGTTGTATAAGAACAAAAAAGTTATGTTTTTTCTATTGAATGGAGTTCCAGCATAAAGGAGGGGTAGGAAATGTTTAAATTTATAGAGGATGCCTGGGTGCCAGAAATTAATAAAATCTTTCGAGGATTTTGAACATCTCAGGAAGAAGGCTGATGGGTCTGTACGAGGATATATCTAGGTCTATATTGCATAGGAATACCTTTTTGATATATCGTACTTTTCCTGGGCATTGCATGGTAGTTGCATAAGATATACGTTGAACAAAAAAGTTATGCTTTTCCTGTTGGATAGAATTCCAGGATAAGGTAATAAAGAGGGGGAGGAAATGTTTAACTTTATAGAAGCCTGGGTGCTAAAAATGGTTAAAACGAATTTTGAGGATTTGGAACCTTGAATCATAGTAACCTAACCTAACTAAATCTAACTTAACCCAATTGATTCTAGCCTCACCCTTCCTAATTTAGCCTGTCTTAACCTATATCCTCTTCATCCCTCATCCCAAGCAACTCCAACAAGAAACCTCACACTTCACACATATCTTCTCTGCTTCACAGAAAAAGTGAATCATTGTAACCTTACCCTACCTAACCTAACGAAAACTAACAACCTAATTAAACGAACCTAACCAAATCTAGCCTATATCCGTTCCTTCCCTCATCACATCTAACTTCTACAAGAAAAAAACTTATTAAAAACATATTATTTCACTTCATGGAAAAACATTAAATCTTGGAAATGTAACCTTACCTAATCTGTTGAATCTAACCTAACCCAACTAAATCTAAATTGTGTAAGCATCCAATTTAAGGATGGAACTATAGCAATAATTTACAGCATGCAAATCCCAATAACTGACCATTAATACTATTTAAATTTAAACGACAAGGAAATGAAAGAAAAAGAAGATTAAAAAACTTGAAAAATAATTTTATTTTACAGCTGTAAAATTATAGTGTAATGTAGAATTAGGTGTTCAAGGATAAACCTTTTAGAAACTATATATTAACTTAAAAAACAAAAAACTGGGTTAAATAAAGCAAATAGCAATAAAGCGGTAAGTAGTTAAAGACGAATTATTTTTGTCCTTTGAGGGAAGATAAACCAGCTCTCATAACTTCATCAACAAGGAGAAGATTGCTGGCGACGACAACACTGAAAGAAAAATTGAGAAATTAAAACCATTTTATGTTATTGAACGAGCTTAATCAAACAATTTACCTTGATATTATGGATTGCAGTCAAAGGAATAAGTTTCGTGGGTCTGTATGAGGGATATATCTAGGTCTATATTGCACAGGTATGCCTTTTCCAGCTATCATAGATTTTTTCTAGGCATTGCATAAGGAATGCATTTGCATTTGGAAAAAAAAAAAATTCCTGTTAAATAGGGGGCGTGCCCGGGGAGGGGTCTGCTTATGTAGGATTCTTTGATTTATTTGTTTGTTGTAGGTTTAAAAAAATAAATATTGGATGTAATGAACTTTAAAAAACTAGTTAGAGCTAGTTAGGTGTATCGGACGTTGGGTCATAGTTTACATTTTTTCGTGTAATGTGCAATGTAAAATAGTGGGTTATGCTGGGATTTGAACCCAGAACAGCTGGCGTGGCATAAACGAGTCTGACCCAACCACTTGAGCCTATTTTTGCCCAACTCTGGCTATTATGGGTCTAAACGTAGAAAAACGGTCGAGACTGTTGACAAATTTGAAAACAAGCTGTTTAGCCAAATGGTCTAGCTATTGTTGGACAATGTTATTTATCGTCCATATGGCCCGAGGGCGGGTGGAAAACGTCGCCCAGATTTTTCTGCAGTATGGAAAATTTTCGTTGTTTGGTTGAAATGTTTGCCGCAGTCGTCTGTGACGTCATGAGTGGTGCACGAATGAGCGATGGCGCTGCATCACAGCTGATAAGAAGTCGTCCTCGTTCTCTTCCACTTCCTTAGTTCCTACCCCTCTTCTTCGTACAGTTCTCTATAGTATCTATAGTTCCCTTCCTACCATGTCCATGTCGCGCTTTTCGATTTTTCCTCCTCGCCTATAATGTAATTGTGCAATTGAATCGTAATACCGTTGTTCTGATCCGGCGAGCCTCTTTCAAATACGCCTCCGCCTGTTGAAAATCGTGGGAAAAGTGTCCCGAGCCGCCCTTCGACCGCTGGGAGGCGATAATAAAATTAATACAAAAGTGGGAGGATCGGACGAGCTGCGGAATTGTTCCGAGTCTTCTCATTTTTTCTTTCTTATTTTTTTATTTATTTATTTATTTTTCCCCCTTACGACCTCCTCTCGCCAGCTATCGCGATCGAATCGGCGAGACCAGGTTTATGATGAAAATTGTATGACTCGGAAACATGGCAAATGTGGAAAGGTACAGAACTCAGATGGTCTATACAGTGCAGGAGTACGGATTGTATCCAGTCCGGGACCACCACGAAAACGTAAGTCACGTTTCATGCAGATAACTACGTCTTTAGAATCTTTTCTTTTTTTTCTTTTTGCTTTCACTTTTAATAGATTTTTATTTATCCCCCGTCGAGTTCCGTTTCTGTTGTCCTCGCCGTCCTCAGTGTCACGGTGCCGTGTTGGCCTTCCACGATAAAAATCCCCTGGCATTCATTTTTTTTTGTACCCTTTGCCCTGACAAAATCCCAATATTTGCGATTAAACCAACAGATTTAACCTCGCCTTAATTTTGTTTATTTTCGCAAAGTGTAAAAAAAAAAAAATGTTTACCCGTTTTTGCCATCGTCAGACCTAAATTCCCCCAAAACAAAAGAAAAAACAAAAAAAACATCAAAATCTGTCAAAGTGACATTGCCTCTTTGGAATAAATCTTACTTGAATTATCAACAGGAAATAATGATTCTTTTCAAGTCTATTTCCATATAAGACTTCAAAAAACAGTTTGTTTTCATTAGAGACTATAAATTTAAAACACAGGAAACTGTTTACGAAATTCTTTTAATTGTATTAAGTGATCCCGTAATTGGAGTTAAATTTCAAATAAGGCCTTTCATTCTCCCCCAAGTTTTTTCATTATCTTGCACACATTTCACACTAAATATCCAAGACTGTATTTTTCGATATTACAACGTGCCGAAAGAAAAATATATCCATACTTTTCTTATTTAAGCACATCGATTCAGTATTATGTTGAGAACCATTTTTTTTTAACACTGTTATGTTTAAGTATCATAATTTTTTTATTATTTAAAAAATTGTTTTGAACGATTGAAACAGTAATGGTTTGTGAAATACAACCGAACATCCAATGAAAAGTCAAAAACTTAAAACAGCCGGTTGTTTAATTCATCTTCGTTTTCTTAATGGTGGAGATATCGACATTGTTAACCTTAAACAGTAATCGTATGTTGCCTGTCAGTTTATCTCATGTCAGTTTTTTGACAGACCCAACAACAAAGATGGCTAAATGTGTCTGACAAGCCAACAGAGTGTGTGGGTAGGCAGACCAAAATGATTGGTAACAACAAAATTACTAGTTCATTACTCCATATTTATTCCGTCGAGTACTGCGTTAAAATTGATTTCCATGAAAACATACGATGGAGATTACTAATACTATTGATTATAAACTATAATTTCAAGTTGCTTGTTAGTGTATTTCATGTTAGTTTTTTTTTTATAATAAATTTTTTAATATAGACAGACCCAACAACGAAGATGATGAAATGTGTCTGACAGGCCAACACAGCAAGTGTTGGCATATCAAAATGATCACTGACAACCAGATTACTAGTTCATCACCCCATATTTATTTAGTTGAGTGCGGTACTGTGTTAAAACAGATTTCCATGAAAACATACGGTGGAGATTACTAACTCTGTTAACCATAAACTGTAATTGCAAGTGACTTGTTATAGTCATATTTCATTTTAGTTCTTTTGGAAATTAAATTTTAAAATACAGACGGGCTCAATAACAAACATGGCTAAATGTGTATGACAGGCCAACACAGCAAGTGTAGGCATATCAAAATGATCCGTGACAACCAAATTAATAATAATCTTCATTCACAGCTTTAGCCATTTTACATTACATATAAATACATCACATACGATACATTATGTTGGAGCAACACTCAAAGCGGATGTAATTTTATTTTTAAAGTTTTGTAAGCTATTACAGAAAAGATCCACCTCTACTGAACTCATGAGCCTACATGCTCTGATAATAGGTGCTGAGAATAAGTAGTATTACAGAAAGGGATAGAAAATAGATTTTTATGTCTATTTAATTTCAAAGGAACATTTATATAAACTCGTTGCAGAAGCTGAACTCATTTCTCTAATAAAATTTAACATTTTATATAAAAATATAAAATCAAAAATATCTCTTCTTATTTTAAGGGGAATAATTTCCATCACAGCTCTTAGTTCATCATAATTTATATAATTAATTAAGGTTTTCAGTTGAGATAAAAAGTCAATGGCATGAGCAGGATTCGAACCCACGATCTTTGGCTTGATACGCCGCTGCTCTACCACCTGAGCTATTGAGACCTCGATCCACTCGGACACCAACCTCCCATCTCAACTACACCTTTTGAATTTTCCCTCCTTTTTGCCATTTTTCAAATGCTTCAAAAGCTGAAGATCATGGGTTCGAATCGCGCTCGTGCCATTGACTTTTTTATCCCAACTGAAAACCTTAATTAATTGTAAGATATTAATTGGTCAAGCGGACCACCAAACTAGTGAATTTAATAATTTATATAGTCTAAGTTTAAGTGTAATTTATAGGCTGAGAATCTTAAAAACCGATTTTGGACTTTTTCAAGTTTATTGATGCATTTGAGATAACTTGGAGACCAAACTGGAGAGTTGAACTTAAGAATAAATAGATTAATTGAAAAGCACAGAGTTTTTATACAATTTATTGTTGAAATCCTTGGAGTTTCTTTTTAAGAATCCTAGCAGTTTCACGGTTTATTTTCAATTGCACCTGTATGATCAGTAAAAGATAAAATTGTGTCAAAGATGATTTTTTTATTTTAAATTTATAGCACAAATATTATAACTAAATACAATCGGATTAGGGTTTCTATAAAAGCGTATAATTTGGCATTTGTTAATGTTCAGGTTCGTTATTTTTATCACACCAATTAATTAGGTTGTTCAGTTCAAATTGAACACTATCACAGTCTTCTAATGACATAATTACTAGTTTCTAGTTCATCACCCCATATTTATTTAGTCGAGTGCTGTACTGGTTAAAACTGATTTCCGTGAAAACATACGGTGGTATTACTGATACTGTTAACCATAAACTGTAATTGCAAGTTGTTAGTTTATTTAATTTTAGTTCTTTTGGATAATACATTTTAAAATGCAGATGGGCTCAATAATGATGATGGCTAAATGTCTCTGACAGGCCAACACAGCAATGATAGGCATATCAAAATGATCTGTGACACCAAATTACTAGTTCATCACCCCATATTTATTTAGTCGAGTGCTGTACTGAGTTAAAACTGATTTCTGTGAAAACTTAAGGTGGTGATTATTTCTACTGTTAACTGCTTATTTAATTTTAGTTCTTTTGGATAATAAATTTTAACATACAGACAGGCCGGATAATGTAAATGTGTCTGATAGGCCAACAGAGTGAGTTAGGCAGACCAAACTGATTGGTAATGACCAGATCACGACACTGAGAGGAAAGAAAAAGTGGCCACCTTTAATATATTTAATTATCTCTTAGACAATCCTCTATTGATTATCTTACAACAATATTTGGTCCGTTTCAAAGGATTAGAGGTAAATAAAACACAGATAAAATCTCCCACTTGTGTTTGCAATTGGATTTTGTAAATAAATCTTTGAATAGTCAATATTTTCATTGCTATTTTTTCTGTAAAGCTTCTTTTCTAATGTTCTGATGGATTTGTTTTTTTTTTTAAGTTGTACAATTTTTAAGTTTCAAACTGGGTTGAGTGATGGTTTTATGTGATACGGATTCGACTAGAATCATAGCATGGAAGATGGTAGAAGTCAAATGTATGTGACCAAGGTGCTTAACATTCCCAGAACAACTGTCCGAAGGGTCTTCCATCGCCACCAAGATACTGGAGGTTGCTCAAGAGGGCATGGACAGGTCGCTATCATGTCACATCTATCGCCACCAAGATACTGGAGGTTGCTCAAGAGGGCATGGACAGGTCGCCATCACGTCACATCTATCGCCACCAAGATACTGGAGGTTGCTCAAGAGGGCATGGACAGGTCGCCATCATGTCACATCTATCGCCACCAAGATACTGGAGGTTGCTCAAGAGGGCATGGACAGGTCGCCATCATGTCACATCTATCGCCACCAAGATACTGGAGGTTACTCAAGAAGGCATGGATAGGTCGCCATCATGTCACATCTATCGCCACCAAGATACTAGAAGTTACTCAAGAAGGCATGGATAGGTCGCCATCATGTCACATCTATCGCCACCAAGATACTAGAGGTTACTCAAGAAGGCATGTACAGGTCGCCATCATATCACATCTATCGCCACCAAGATACTGGAGGTTGTGCAAGAAGGCAAAGATATGGTCGCCATCAAGTCACATCTCAGAGACGATCGTTTTATTGTTGCAAATGTACTCTGTAATTGACATTTCATCGCTATTGAGATTAAGCAACGACTTCACCAAGTTAGAAATGTTACTGTCAGTTTATGCACTGTAAGGCAAAGACTTTCAGAAACTGGATTACATACTAGAAGGCCTGCCTCTGGTCCAGAACTTCTGACAAGGCATAGAACAGCTCAGTTAAATTTCACTAAAAATCACATCAATTGGTCTGAGCAAGATTGGGCTAAAATCTTGTTTTGGGATGAGTCAAGGTTTTGTTTGAGGTCTAATGACGGCCAAGAGAAGATTTGGAGAAGAACAGGAGAGCAATATATTCCCGCAACATTTTCACTCTGGAGAAGCTAAGGGAGGTGGTGGTGCAGCGTCAATATTGACAGAATTGTTTAATTTGCTTTCAGTATTTTTCCTAATAGTGAAAATTTCTTCTGGTTGGCGGGGTGATGAACCTGTAATTTGACCTTTACTGATCATATTGGATTTTTATTTAGGGTTGGTCTGTCAGTTGCATTTAGGCAAACCAAAATGATGGATGGAAATCATTGATATTCTTGTCAGTAAACTATAGTTGTAATGTAGCTAGGAGTTCTGATAGGATAATAAAGGTTATAATACAGACCCAACACTGAAGATGCTGAAATACGTCAGACAGATCAACACAGTGAGGATAGGCAGACAAAGTGGTAATTAGTGGCCGAATTACAAGATACATCGTGAGAAACAATACGACTATAGCTTAAACAAATGTTTCACACCTGGAATAATGTGTAAAAGCTAGAATATGTCTAGGGAATTTTTGTTACACCCTCGTATTGTATATTAAATTCTAGAATCATTGAACATGTTTTTCATGTTGAGAATTCATTTGAATAATTTAGAATATTGTGAATGTGTTACTGGAAACATTTATTTTGTTACGGTATTTTTTAAAATATATTTTTATATTTATATTATTTATCTTGTCAACCTACAGAACACTAGGTTGATAAAATCGTAACTTCTCAGAGAAAACTTTAAAAACGTTCAGTGCAGGTCATGACACATAACGTTTCAATGAATAGGAAATTTTTGCTGTTGAGAGGAGGAAAAATTGAAAAACCAGGCCGCTCTGAATGTTAAAGTCGGTGGAACCTGTGGGACTTCATAAATTCAAAATTAATGCCTCCGACCACACCTGTTGAGGGTTTTAATTCAATTAAATTGTCCAAATTAATAGTTTCTATTACATTAGTATTAGTAATCTTAAGTTGGCTGTGGGTTTATTTTATCTTAGGGTAATAATTTTAATATATACATATTTTAATAAATATTTTTTATTGATGGAGAGCTGTGCTGCTTGCATAACTTTATGATGTCAAAAGTTACAAGTAAAAATTGGTTGTAGGTAGAGTTTACTGACATTATTAACAATAAACTGTAATTGGACTATAGATAGAATTTTACTTCATTTCGGTTTTGTTAGAAAGTTTTTTTATTGGGCGAATGCTGTATTGTAATTGTGGTTTGTAGAACCATCATTTCCAACTATTGAATTGATATATACACTCCATCGTTATGATTTAAAAAAATAATTTTCTGTATTGCATGTACAACCATAACAATCTATAAATAAAATTTGTTGATAATTGATTATTATACATGGTTGACAATAAGAAGTAAGTGTACTATGACGGTTGGCTTATTTCATTTGCTTTGTTAGGATAATAAAATTTATTTTATTGTACATAGTTTTTACAGTAAGAACCATTTTCTGTGAAAACGTACAGTGGAGATTATCGACATTCATAACAATAAAACAGTTACGTATGACTTCCGTTTATTTCATTTCTGCGCTTACTCACTTGTCATTACTCACCGTGACACAGATTTTTTTCCTTGTATTTCGAAAGAAAGCCTTCAACTGAGTTTATTTACAGTGATGATATAAAATTTGCTTTAGTATTTAATTACAAAGGAAGGTCCTCTACCATTTCTTACATTTTCTTGCTCATTATTTTTCCTGTTAATATGGTACAAATCTATATTTGTTGATGATGCTTTGACGTACTTTATGTTTTAAAAGATTACATCATTTCTCTCCTATTGGAACATATTTTTGGCCTTCTTAATAATGTACAAACATGAGCAGATCTCACCTATGGTGCAATAGCTTCAGGAAACAAAACCATTCAAATTACCAAATAAAAAGAACTCTCTAAAATACACAAACTAGAGAAAATGTTCTATATTTACTATGGAAAACATTACTGAGACGAGCTCTTCTCCATGAAATTATTATTGTGGCTACAAAGCCAACCGTGAAAACCATGAAAAAATAACCATAGTATCATGATTTTAACAAAACTTCTGTATTCTAATAACTACAAATGGGAATTGGAGAAAACTAATATATTTATAATGCTAGCCTAGTGCAAGAGGGTTTTAGTCCTAAAACCATTCTCTCTCATCTTTCAAAGGAAAGTTATTGTAAATGATAAAGAAACTCAATCTAATCTGAACAGAAGATTTAAACTTAAAGACCGTGATCATGTTATTGGGTTCCATGCATGCTCAGTTTGTCTGTCAGTGAATTTGACCTCAGTTTACAGTGAAGGAAAATGAATAATTAGATGCCATTAGAAAAAGAATATCGTTTAACTGACAGAACTGGAACCCTTCTATCGGATAAAAATGCTCGATATATTTTTAGAATAGAAAGGTGATGTGGATCTCAAGGGACGATTTGAAAAGAAAGAAATATAATAAGAGGAAGTGGAAAGAAACTAAGAATTTTTTCACAGTGGTGCAGCTTTTGACAGAATGGGCATCAGAAAAAGGTTGCAGTCAAGAAATATTTTGTTGATTCTGTATAGAAGTTTAAGAAACTCTGATACGTTTTCTAACAGATATAGGGCTACAACACAACTGATAGAAACTAGAGAAATAAATAAAACTCATGTTTAATTAGGATGAACATTTGTACTGTAACTACAGGACTTAAAGGGCATATAGTCAGGACCCCACATATTTCTCATTCATTCTCAGACATAGATCGGTTGGGTTAGGTTTGGTTGGGTCACAGGCACATTAGGTTAGGTAGGATTCAGGACAAGTTAGGTAGAATTAGGGTCAGACCGTTTAGGTTAGGTAGGATTAGGGACAAGTTAAGTGCCATAAATGATTCATTGTTTTCCTGTGAACTTGAGAAATGCTACAGCTGGCAGTTTTAGCAAAAAAAAAATAGAAATATATATATACAAAAATACTAAATAACCAGAACAACTGAAGTGTTTGAAACTTTGATATTTTTCTCTCAGATGGGACTGACCAGAATATGCAAACCAGGATTATCTAATACAATCAATTTAAAAATGAAAAAATCTATATTTGCTTTTTTTAGGATAACACGAATAAATTTATTTGCTGAGTCTTTTACTGTATTTGTTTTCAACCATTTTCACATTAAAAATAAAATGAATTTCTTCATTTTTTTTTATCCACGATGTTGACAATGGTCAATGTGTTTGAAATTAAGTACATAGAGATAATTGCTTTTGTAGTATGATTAGAGATCGGAGCACTCGACCAGAATTCAATCTTTATTGTCCTTATCAAGCCAAAAATGTTATTTTTTTTTTAACTGTTCAGTTATTGAAAAATATTAGTATTTTTAATTCACCTTGTGTCATGCATAATTAACTGCAACGTAGGTGCAGGAATGAAATAAACTCTGAGCTACATCACGGCTATATTTCATTGTTCTAAATGTCCAGTAATCTTCACCTAGATCTAATTTTTATTTGTACGTTTTCACAGAAAATGGTCGTAAATACAATACAGTACTCGGCCCATTTTATATTACTTTATTACCGTAATAAAACAAACTGACGGCTGTTTACAGACTAAAGCTCATTTCTTAGAAGGAATGATGTTCGTCAAATATCTTTTTACAAAAATGTAGATTGTATTATTTCTTTACAACGTTTCAACTCTCATTGAGATGCAAGGAATTTGTGTTTTAAGTTTTTATTTAGTTATTTATTTTAAATTGTATTAACTAAAGACGTTGCTTGGTTCCTGGTTATTTCGGTTCGTCACTCGCCTCAGCTTTTTGCGATCTTAGTGGTGGGTTTCTGTTATTTTCATTTGATCAAGTATAAAATGGACCTGAATAATAGAAAATGAAAAACAAAAAAGCGACTCATAGGCCATCAATCTGCAAATCTCAACATCCAGTGTCACAATAAAATTTTGCATTACTATGGCATGATGGCTTGGGTTATGTATTTTATTTATGATTTTGAAAAACTTGAAAAAATAAAGAAATTTACTTGCTTATTTTAACATTTTTTCTTGTTTTATTATTGAAACTGGCCGTTATGTAAAACAAATAGTTTTAAAAATAATCCATTTGTACTACACTCAGCATGTTATTTTCTTTATTGCCCTTCACGTTGAAATGATTCACCGATAAGTCAATACTATTCCATTTTGCTTTATTGTCAGGGTTGCACAAACTTATTCAAAAATTTGCATTTACGCTAATTGTACACGTTCCAGGTTCACTGTTTCATGCATTGATATAGTGTATACGTATATGTAATTAATTTTTTAAAATAATTGTATAACACTGTTGTTACTTTGTGTTTAATAATTTATAATTTCAGGATAATGAAGCAACTAGACGAGTACGTCTTAAAATTATAAGAGGTCATCAGTTGGCAAAAAAAGATATTTTTGGAGCAAGGTAAGGCTCTTTTTATCATAATTACTGGTGTTTGGTTTAGTTTTCATCTGTTGGCAGAGTTGGATAAAATTAGGCTATGGGAAATTGTGTTCTGACTTAATTTATCATTATTTTTTATTTGCATAGCCTAAAATAAATTTAGATGTCAAGATATTTCTCTCTCTCTCTCTCTCTCTCTCTCTCTCTCTCTCTCTCTCTCTNTATATATATTTTCCCCCCACTTTATTTTGGATATTTCTTCTCAACACACAACAAATTGATTAAAATTAATCACACCAACTATAGTTTCTAATATCTGGCCTCAAAAAGTATTATCAGTTTTTGTTGTTCATCATCTGATACAGGGGACATTTTAACTGTTCCAGCGATCCTTATGTGAGGATTGACCTGAATACAATAGTTGGTGAAGCGACTGTGGATTCTGTCTTGACCAAAACAAAAAAAAGGGTGATTACTTGTTGTTATCAAACAGTTTAAACAAATATTCTACTTTTAATGCTGTTATCTTTGTTTACAGACGTTAAATCCATCCTGGAATGAAGAGTTTATTTTTAAAGTAATTACTATTATCTCATTAGAAATATAGTACATTAATAGCAATATTATAAATTAAAAAAAAATAAATGTCTTTTCAAGGTAAAACCGTCTGAACATAAACTTGTTCTTCAAGTTTTTGACGAAAATCGTTTGACGCGAGATGATTTCCTTGGCCAAGTTGAACTGTTATTGGAAAACTTACCAGTGGAAGTCGAAGGAACAGAAATAGCTTCAAAAAAGTATATTCTTTATCCAAGGAGGTAAGCAATGGTGTTTTTATAAATTATTTCTCTTTCTCTCTCTTGAAAAATCGTAAAAACGCGTATTAATCTGTTTTTACTTCATTTTCATTTGCAATCATAGTAAAGAAAAACTGGTGGTTTTTAAAAATTGAAATCACTACGTAAATATTAAATTTTATATTGTTTGGTGTTTTAACAACCACACCTTGCTAGTGATTAATATATTTAATTATTTTTATAAAAACAATTAAAATGGTTAATAATTCTTTATATAAAATAATTTACCGACATGTTTTTTCTGTTTTGATCTGCATTGTGTTAATTGTTATTAATATTTAACAGCAATAATTACATAGTACTGAGAAACATTGTGCAATATTATAATATTAAAACAAATATTCTTTTTATGGTCTAGTTTAAATTATGATCTTACATATGGTGCTGCGTATGCGTATTTTTTTTGGGGGGAGGTAAAAAAGGCCAGGGGTAAAGGTAAGAATTGAACTCGTGACTGCGGGGTACATGAAACGACAGTCTTATCTAACCCCTCTGCTACCTCGGTTTCCACTTTAGATATTTAATAATCTTTCTTTTTATCATTTATATTAAAGTCATGATAATGTTTTTCCGCCAAATTTTAATTTAGTTGTTTATCTCAGTTATGTTTAAAAATATGAGGCAGATATTTTATTATCATATCGTACTGTGATCTTCGTTAGAGATTTTTTTTTTTTTTTTTTTTTTTTTTTGGTAGAGATTATTTATCTTGAAATGAGTTATTTATTGCAACAAATCTCATTAATATTGGGCTGGTGCAAAAATAACGCTGATTTTGAAAAGGCAGTCAAAACTATTTTTAATTTTTTATAAAGTAAAGAAAATTTATTTGAAATATTTTTCATCACAATCTATACTTCTTTGCCAATGTGTAATAAGTGCTTTTATTCCGCTGGCATAAAAATCTTTATTTCGACTCACAATAAAGTCTTGGAAGGTTCTTTCGGTTTAACTGTGTTCTATAAAAAATTTATCCCTCAAGAAGTGATCAAAATACCTAAAAAAGTAGAAATCTGTCTAGGGTCGGGTGAATATAGAGGGTGCGGTAAGGTTTCGTACCCTTAGCCCTTAAGTCACTGCAAGGTTGGCATTGGGACATGTGGCCTAGCGTTATCCTGAAGACGAATAACGGTTTACCTTACGGTTTACCAATGCTGGACAAAGACATTGCAATTTCTCATGCATTTTGTCAATTTCTCGACAATATTTCTCTGCTGTGATAGTTTCACCGTAATTCAGGAAATTATAGCGAACAACACTAGCAGTACACTACCGAACAGTCACCATAACGCCTAACTAAACCGTTGCAGCCACCACTTTGTATTTTTAAAAATAAAATCCTGGAAAACTTGTTATATAAGGATTAAAAGTCCAAAATTTCATTGGAATGATTTTTTTTGTCTTTTTAATGTTTGATTACTTGTATTTAGCATGTAATGTGTTCTATTTTAAAGTTTACCTTTATTTGCAATTTTAAAGATTATTTACTAATAATTTTCTCTTGACTGTTTCTTTTGGCCATGAGCCTGTAATATTTGAATATTAATAATAATAATTGGTTGGGTTTTATATAACTTTTACAGTTCAAGATCACGTGTTCGAGGCTATTTGGAAATTTATCATGCCTTTATTGATGATGAAGTCAGTAACAATTCAAGAAGAGATGGCTCAAGGGATTTGGAAGTAGAAGCTAGTTCAGAAGCATGCGATCGAAACAATTTGCCAGAGGGAGCTCAAGTATGTTTTTTTTTTAATATATATTTTATTGTTCGAATATTGACAGTTTTTTTAATGTTTAGGTCTGTGATAACACCCTCCCTGCAGGATGGGAAGAAAGGCAAGATGCTAATGGACGGACTTACTATGTAAACCATGTTGCTCGGTCTACACAGTGGGACAGGCCTGTTCCAGAGTATGTATAAGTTGTTATAATTTTTCGCTTAAGGAAATGGGCCATTGCTTGATTGCTTGGAAGATGTAGCCTGAAGGTGCAAGGTCAGGACTTAGGGTTGTTACGGTAGAAACTCGTGATGTCCGCTTGAAAACTATTTTGCTTGTGCAGTCAGACATTGTCTTGTAGAAAAAGTACTTTCTTCCTTTTCTCCAAAGCTGGGTATTGCCTCTCCAAAACATTGTTGCAGGTAACAATTCTTTTGATGAAATGTACATCATTTGGATTTTGAAGGAGAAGGTAGTTTTGTTTCCAGGTGTTCAGCTGCAAGGTGGGCTCTCATGTAGAAACTCTTAAATCCTTTTCAGTTTCCCTGACTGTGTGCCGGTGCTATTCACATACAGGGTGAATTGCTACTCGTGCTACAAACTTCTCCAGTAGATTCTTCACCCTAAAATGAACAAAAAAGTTCATATTGTCCATGGTCCGATTCTCAACCATTTCAGAGTAATTTCGCTTTTTATCGATTTTGAAAGATATCACGTCCTGGCGTCGGAAAATCGTGATATCTTTTAATCTAAACATTTCTCTGAAAATCTAATAGCACCGTTGAAATTCCCGTTAATTTTTCAATAAGAAGATGACGGTGGCAAAATGTTTGGGCTAATTTTTTGTGTTTTATTTCAGCCAGAACTACAAAAAGAGTGGGAAATTGTGTAAATCGGAAAGTGTATAAAGTAATCCAGAGTTTCTAATTTTAGTCTCAGAAGGCAGCAAATTTGAGGAAAACTACCTGATTTAATAACGCTTCCAACGCACTCGTCATTTTCTTATTTAGTGGTTGTGAGACCAAGATGTTGATGACAAAAAGAGAAAAAATGGTGGTTCAAGGATTGCTAATGTTTGAGAGTGACTTGCTACTCGTGCTACAAACTTCACCAGTAGATTCTTGACCCTAAAATGAACAAAAAAGTTCATATTGACCATGGTCCGATTCTCAACCATTTCAGAGTAATTTCGCTTTTTATCGATTTTGAAAGATATCACGTCCTGGCGTCGGAAAATCGTGATATCTTTTAATCTAAACATTTCTCTTAAAATCTATAAGCACCGTTGAAATCCCCGTTAATTTTTCAATAAGAAGATGAAGGTGGCAAAACGTTTGGGTCTTTCTTCCTTGACCTTCTAGCTGTTTGTAAACTTCTTAAGCATTACATACTAAATGGGCATTAAATTAAATTAAAAAATTTCAATGGAATTATGATTTTGATTCTCTCTAAAAATTAACGGGGATTTCAACGGTGCTTATAGATTTTAAGAGAAATGTTTAGATTAAAAGATATCACGATTTTCCGACGCCAGGACGTGATATCTTTCAAAATCGATAAAAAGCGAAATTACTCTGAAATGGTTGAGAATCGGACCATGGTCAATATGAACTTTTTTGTTCATTTTAGGGTCAAGAATCTACTGGTGAAGTTTGTAGCACGAGTAGCAAGTCACTCTCAAACATTAGCAATCCTTGAACCACCATTTTTTCTCTTTTTGTCATCAACATCTTGGTCTCACAACCACTAAATAAGAAAATGACGAGTGCGTTGGAAGCGTTATTAAATCAGGTAGTTTTCCTCAAATTTGCTGCCTTCTGAGACTAAAATTAGAAACTCTGGATTACTTTATACACTTTCCGATTTACACAATTTTCCACTCTTTTTGTAGTTCTGGCTGAAATAAAACACAAAAAATTAGCCCAAACATTTTGCCACCGTCATCTTCTTATTGAAAAATTAACGGGAATTTCAACGGTGCTATTAGATTTTCAGAGAAATGTTTAGATTAAAAGATATCACGATTTTCCGACGCCAGGACGTGATATCTTTCAAAATCGATAAAAAGCGAAATTACTCTGAAATGGTTGAGAATCGGACCATGGACAATATGAACTTTTTTGTTCATTTTAGGGTGAAGAATCTACTGGAGAAGTTTGTAGCACGAGTAGCAATTCACCCTGTATAACAAATCTACATAGGTGTATCGAAATCATTTTTTTTTGTATAAACAAATCTCAGAAGGGTCTGATGACCTGAAGGGGTTGATGACAGGTAGGTTGTACTGTTAGACCACCACTCCCCCAGGTCCCTTTAGTATCAATAGAAACCATGAATGAAACTGGCACAAAACTCTGTCAAGAACCTGTGTTTTTGCTTGGCTTAAAAAATTTTCTACAGGGTGTGAAAAGGTTGAGAACAAAATCTACGATCACCAGCCACGAGTGTGACCAAGAGCAAAATTAAGGGGGTTTTTGTCGTTTTTCCATGATTGACGCACAATTAATGTGCAATGTTATTGTGAATTATCGGATGGTGAAAAATTGCCATTTCGAATCAAAAGGAAGAAACAATCGGCCAGAAGTGTCATTCTTCTACATCAGTGGTTCCCAAAGTGGTCCCTACGGACCCCCAGGGGTCCCTGGTACATTCAGAGGGTCCGTGGAAAATTAAAATTGATTTGGGGGTCTCTGAACAACGTCAGGGGGTCCGCGCAAGGTTTAATATAAAATAATATAATATAAATAATAATATAATATAAAACAGAAGTACGTTGGTTATCTAAAAGTGCATGTTTAAATGGATTTTATGCGCTCTTTGACTCAGTGTTGGAATTCCTGGAAACCAAAGACAGTGATTTGCGACACAATTTAATTAACTCAAAAAATGACAGTCTATTCTGATTTATTTGCCAGATTTAACGAAACTAATTTGAAATTACAAGGTGCCCAATTAAATTTAATCAAAACTAAAAGCGTAATGTTTGCAAAACTTGGGAAGAGGAGAATGTTCTCAGTTTCCAAATCTTTCGAAATTGCAAATTAAAGATGAAGATTTGCTTGCTTACTGTTAACACTTAACAGCTTTTCACACAGACCTGAACAAAAGATTTGAAGACATTCTTCACTTCCTGTGAACCCTTTTGCATGTGGACAAACTCAGATCCCAAACACAGATGAATCCATACTAATACAGGAGCAGCTTATTGAAATATCCACAAATGAGGAACTTAAACCAATGTTTGTACAAGGATACCACAAATTATGGTTACAAAAACAGATCCCGATTTTATATCCTGCATTATGGGTTATTGTACAGTTGTTGACTGCTTTGGTTGAATGTGGATTCAGTGCCGTTATGAACCTCATCACAAAAGAAAGAAACTGATTAGAAATTATACACTCATAACATCTCATCACGTTCATCCAAGTCATTAATTTTTGTATATTTTAAATAAAAGTAATTAATATTATAATTTATATACACTAATTTCTTGGTCCGCTTGACCAGTTAATATATTATAATTAATTAAGGTTTTTAGTTGAAATAAAAAAGTCAGTGGCATGAGTGGGATTCGAACCCACGATCTTCGGCTTGATACGCCACTGCTCTACCACTTGAGCTAGCTATCGTGACCTCGACCACTCGGACCCAACTTCCCATCTCAACCGCACCTTTTGAATTTTCCCTCCTTTTTGCCATTTTTCAAATGTCGTGTAATCAGATTGGATTCTCGACGACAAATGAAATGGCCACGGAGAGCTTTAGTGAAGTATACTTCATTCCAAATAATTAAAAAAGGTGAAAAATGGCAAAAAGGAGGGAAAATTCAAAAGGTGCGGTTGAGATGGGAAGTTGGTGTCCGAGTGGATCAAGGTCACGATAGCTCAAGTGGTAGAGCAGTATCAAGCCGAAGATCGTGGGTTTGAATCCCGCTCGTGCCATTGACTTTTTTATCTCAACTAAAAACCTTAATTACAATAATTTATATATATTTATAATTTCAAAAATACTTCTTCAACAAAACTTTTTTTAAAATTTGTAATTTTTATATTATGCATTTATGTGGCTTTTTCACTTGGGGTTCCCTGGGCAATTTTTGACTATAAAAAGGGGGTCCATGGGTCAAAAAAGTTTGGGAACCACTGTTCTACATAACACCAGTCCTCATCCGGCTTATACCACAATGCAAAAATTGGATGCAGTATTTCTAGATAGAAAAAAATATTAAAAAAATCTATAAAAAAAATAATATATTTTTGTAAGCTTAATAAAATAAAGTTAGAATTTTTAAAAATGAATCCTGTTTATATTTGATACACCCAAGGAAGTTTATTTGATAGTTTTTGTTAGTAGTTCGATAGTTTTTTAGGTTTTTTTTGTTTTTAGTATCAGCTTCATTAGCAGCATTCGAGACTCACCTTTAACCTTGCTCCTTTTGCAGGCTTTCATCACCTCTCTCAATTTTTAAACAACAAAATTCATCACTGAGTCTTCTCCTTTTACAAATTTAAAACAAGTAATTGGTAATGAATCAATTATCTAATCCAATAATTGCCTGAATATTACAAGAATTTTCATACCTCAGTGTCATTTTTATCAAAAGAATGCCAAACAAACAGTGAAAATAAAATGAGGGGCATTGTTTACAAAATGATTTCATATAGTAAAGGGTTGTGAAGTGATAACAATAACATACAAAAGAGAGTGGGAAACAAATAAACATTTGGAATAGTTCAAAAACTCACTTTTTACCACTTGTTTGTGTCTATCTCTAGTTCTGCCCACCAAAACCTGCAGAACCTGGAATCGGCTGCAACTGAATTTCAAAGACGTTTTCACATAAGTGTCGATGAAGCAGACTCATCAACACGGAGAGCCAGTTTAATGTCCTCTCATGTAAGTATTTGATTAAAAAAAAAAAAAAATAATAATAATTAGAGGCATCGCTTGATTTCCATGATTTCAGAGCACCGATGATCAGACTGTCAATACTTCTAGTGAAGGCCTGCCCGAAGGTTGGGGCTTACAAATCGCTCCGAATGGCAGAGTATTTTTCATAGATCATAATAAAAAATCGACAACTTGGGTGGATCCTAGGACTGGTAAGAGAAATAACTAAACCCGTAAATTTACGGAAAAGTGATATTAAATATTTTAATGTATAATTTTTTAATTTTTTAAAGGCAGGGCAAGTGCTATGCCCCAACAAAGTGGAGCGGGAAGTCAAATCAGAGGACATGTCACACCTGACGGAGATTTGGGTTCTTTACCAGAAGGATGGGAAGAGAGGGTCCATACTGACGGCCGGATATTTTTTATTGATCATAGTAAGAACTATTTGAATAAACTGCAACCTTTGCATCGTGTTAAATATGTTATTGTGCTATTAACACCTTTTTAGACGCAATATTTTTTTTTAATTGATAAACTATAATAATAATTTTTTTGTTTTATAATGTTTATTTATTATGTACCTAAGTGACATAATTAAAGATTTTCATCTGTTCGCTAAAATTTTACGTTTATTATTTAATAGATGAAGGGTAAGGGATTAGGGTGCGAGTAGTAGGTCAACCCCTTTTCCTACCCGAATGAGTAAAGTGGCTTATGTTATTGTACTTGAAAAATACCAAAAAAATTACTTTAAAAAAGTGTAATAACGAATTTTTCAAAATTGGAATTTCAGAATTCGAAAATTTTCAAATAAAATGGGGGGGATAGCATGAAAAAAATACCAGGGGCGATGGTGGGAATCAAAAACACGACCGAAGTTCTACTCAGCTACCGCGGTCCTCACTTGAACATAATTTAAAAAAATAGATGAACTGACAAGGTCTTGTTGCTTAAATTTTAAATATTGCACTCTTGATTAAAAAAAAAATTTTATTAGGTAGTTTATGAAATGTGTTTATATGTTATATGTTTTATTTAAATATTTTTAAGTTTTAAAATAAATTTATTCAACTTTTAATTGCAGATTCTAGAAAAACACAATGGGAAGACCCCAGATTAGCTAATCCCCAGATTGCTGGACCAGTAAGTGTTTTTGTTTTTTGATGAAGTGGTTTTTTATATATTTGATTTTTAATTTTTTTTTTTTTTTTTATAGGCGGTGCCTTACTCTAGAGACTACAAACGTAAATACGAATATCTGAAAACTCAGTTAAGGAAGCCTGTAAGTTGTACTTTTTTAAAATAAATATTCTTTAGCCCAATAAGCTCCTGTAACGTCTCTAATTACTCAAATATATAAAATTAAATTTTGAACTATTATGGGAAATTATTTTCAGACAAATGTTCCAAACAAATTGGAAATTAAAGTTAGAAGACATGCAATTTTGGAAGATTCGTATAGAATTATTACAAACAACGCATCGCGGCCTGATTTACTGAAAACTAAACTTTGGGTGGAATTTGAGGGCGAAGTGGGATTGGACTATGGAGGCCTGGCGAGGGAATGGTTTTTTCTTTTGTCCAAAGAAATGTTCAACCCTTATTATGGATTGTTTGAATATTCAGCCATGTAAGTACATCTCGCATATGAAAAAAAAAGCTTAATAAAACCTTGCCTAACAAATTAACAACGGATTTATTTTATTTTTTTAATTTTTCAAAGGGACAACTATACTCTACAGATCAACCCAAATTCTGGTTTATGTAATGAGGAACATCTGAACTACTTTAAATTTATTGGAAGAATTGCTGGGCTTGCGGTATATCACGGAAAACTTCTTGATGGTAAAATATTTGTAATTTATTAAAAAAAAAAAATTACAGTTATTCATACATATGTGTTTCTCATAGCATTTTTCATTCGACCATTTTACAAAATGATGCTTGGAAAAAATATCGAATTAAAAGACATGGAAAGCGTAGATTCCGAGTACTACAATTCTCTCTTGTGGATTAAGGAAAATGATCCGGCTGAACTCGGTCTGACATTTTCCGTTGACGAAGACACCTTAGGCCATACATGTCAGAGAGAATTGAAACCAAACGGTGGTAATATTCCACTAACACAGGAAAATAAAGATGAATATATAAGGTTGGTTTTAAATATTTTTTCCCTACATAAATGAACTTTTTTAAATTTAAATTCATGTGTACTTTTTTGTATAGACTTGTGATAGAGTGGAGATTTGTTGCTCGTGTGCAGGACCAAATGAATGCTTTCTTAGATGGATTCAATGCTCTCGTTCCGCTTAATCTCATTAAAATCTTTGATGAGAACGAACTGGAATTACTCATGTGTGGCATACAGAACATAGATGTCAAGGATTGGAAGACAAATACCGTTTATAAAGGAGATTATCATCCTAATCACATTACTATTCAATGGTTTTGGAGGGTAAAGTATTATTCGTTTAGCACAGTTTATATCAGTTATTAGTTATTCCATGATGGGTGCACGATTATTAAATATATAAAAATAATCTGAGAAAATTGACAAATCTAATTTATTTGTAGGTAGTACTATCTTTTAGTAATGAAATGAGGTCAAGATTGCTTCAGTTTGTCACAGGAACTTCAAGAGTTCCTATGAACGGATTTAAAGAACTATACGGGAGCAACGGGCCACAGATGTTCACTATTGAAAAGTGGGGTTCAACTGACAATTACCCAAGAGCTCATACTTGGTACTTAATTTTAAATTTATCTTGTTACTAATTAAAAAAAAAAAGGTTTTTTTGTAATATATATTTTTTTTAAATCAGCTTCAACCGTCTAGATCTTCCTCCTTATGAAAGTTATCAGGACTTGAGAGAAAAATTAATAAAGGCCATTGAAGGGTCACAGGGTTTTGCAGGAGTTGACTAGCCTTTTTGAATTGTAGCGAGGTAAACAGATATCACACTACTTTATAAATCAAGAAAGTTGTAAGTTTTTTTTATACCGATGTACTGCATTTACTCATTTTGTTGTTTTTCATTTGTGATACATTATTAGTCATACATTGTTTTTTCTTTGGGGGGGGGGGATTTGGCTCATTTTTTAATTTTTAATTTTTTTTTTAGAACTTCTAAAAAGGAAACGTGACTTTATGTTGAATGAAATTTGAAAAGCAATTAACTTAAAATTTAAGATTTTGAAGAAAGAACTAGTCCTACAGCTACCTCATCACTTTTCCATTTGATACGATACCACTTTTGAAAAGCCAATAACACACTTGCACAACGGATTGTATTAACAATTAAAAAAATTATTAACACATTGATGTTTTTTTTTTAATAATTATTTTATTTATGCTATATATTTATAATTTTAAAAGGTTTAATGATGCTTTTCTGCTTTTGTTGAAAAGTTATGTGTAAAATAATTATTTATCTTACATTTTAAAAACATTGATTTTAATTGACAATTTTCTAACATCTGATTAGACAATTTTTTTTTAAAATTTGTGTGATAATAAGTGATTAGTAAAAACTATTTTTTTTTTAATGTTAAAATTTCCTTTTTATTAGTTCAACTTTTTCCATTTTTTGAATATATAAACAATAAAGTCTTAAGTGTTGCAGATACTGTTAATAAAATAATTTTTTACTGTGAGACAACGTGCAGAAACAGCCAATGGTAAAAAATATCACTGGTATTGAGTAAATTCAGTATATCTTAAAAAAAAAAAAAAAAATCGAAACTGCAGGGAAACTTAACATGTGATTGTTAAAATTATTATGTGATGAAAAAAAAATGTGTGTAAAGTGCATTACTTGCAATACTTTACGGTCCTTTAACTGTGAATTATATTTTTCATAAAAAATTAGTCCATATTTAATATATTTCTTTAAGTTGATTTTTACATTTTATTTCTTTTTAAGTAATATTTGATAAACATATAAATAAATATATATATTATATAATAATGTTACATATTGCTGTACTTTTATTGACAAACTTTTTGTCCAAAACGATGGATTTTACAAATTACACTACTTGTTGATTTAGAAATTTGTATTGTAGACATTATTAAATGAATATATATTTTAATTATATCAATATTGTATAATTTGTAATATCTTGTTTTCATTTGTGAAAAGGTCGTCGCAAAAAAAAAAATAAATAAATAAAATAAAATAAATAAATAAAAATTACAAAAAAAATAAAAGTAAAGTAAAAATATTAAACATGTGGCAACTTGTATGAATATTCTTTTGAATTTTGTTTGCTATAGATCGACAACTGAGATTTGTTTATTCAAATTGTACAGAGATTTTTAAATTGATCCTTTATCGTTTTTGTTACATATTGTACAAGAGGAATGCCGTTCTCTCTTGTCGGTAGAATTCCATATATAAATTTGTAGAAATATTACCGTCCATTTTTAATTAATATTTAATTAAGATATTTAAAATTATTAAATGTATATTGCAATTGATTAAATATATGTGAAACATATTAAAACATCAATAATTAAATATAATCACTATAAAATGGATATTAAATTATTTTAACTATATTTTTAACCACAAGAGCTTTATTATAAGTATTTATAATATATCATTTTAAAATTTATGTACAGCTAAATGTGTTTTTGTATTCAACTGAGCATTGATTAGATGATAGGTATTAGACTCAGAGATTTAGAAAGACTGTAAATTATACAATTATTATACACGCTGTTTACAATACTTCAAAATGCATTCCTCTATGTAAATACAATCTATCTAGCATTTATAAACTCATAAAAAAAAATTATAATAGCTGCCTAGAAAATAATAGCGATTTTTCTTCCTAATTGGATCGTCTCTGGAATGTTTTTGGATATTTTACATTTGCCATATCTTTAACCAACATGTTTTAATGTAATTTATAACTGATTGGTTAGTTATATTGTTACTGTTGTTATTATTGTTGCTATTGTTAAATATTGTTCAGCCAAAAATTCTATTTCTCTTGGAAATAAATTCTTAAAAAAAAAAAAAAAAATCATTGAACTAGTGCCTATTGTTTTTGATTCATAAAGGATCATAAATAAATTATAACTTAAGTGTAATTTTATTAGATAGAATTTTTCTATTTCTAAAAGATCAGGAATTGTGTATCATACTTAAGTATGCCATTGTTAAAATATGTTTTCTTCCCTTAAAACTAAGGTTTTCACGCTTCATTTGAGTTAATTTGTTGCACTTTTTGTTAAACTATTTCCAGCTTTGATGTATGAATTTCAACTTTAATTGTACAACCTTTTAATTTGGTTTTATCACGAGTGAAGAATTTTTTTTTTTTAATATTTCATTTAATAATGCCACCCGTTTATGATCACTAAAAGTTTCAAAAACTTTTTGTATTTGATAACCAGTTGTTAATATAAATCACATTGAAAAAAAGTACAAGTAAATAATATTTCTAGTCAATAGTTACTGTTGTATGATGTATATTGACTTATCTTTTGCATATTACATTTTAATTATTTTTAAAACCAACCGAGAAAACTAAATGTAACTATTGTTTGTTTAGGGCGTTAGCTTAAGATAACATTTATATTGTGCATTTTTATAAAACAATGTTTTATTTAGATTGACAAGGTACAGGATTTACTTTATAATTGCAGTTCAGTGATCCAAAAATGACATGCACTTCAGTGCTGTACCAGTTACATTCCTTTTAGAATATCTTTATAATATTTTGATTTTTTTTTGTCATATAACAAAGAATATTATAAGAAAAAAAAGTTACCAATCATATTTTGATTGCTTTCCACCCTTTTATTTCTTGAATTTTCTCATCCAAATGGGTTTAATGTATTCTTTATCTTTTATGTTATTTTTTCAATAACTGTATTTTTTATGGCATATCATTGTCATGTAACATCTTTAGGGTTATTTTTCAGTAAAGCCTGTACAAAGCAATGTAGCAGCACGGAATTTTCATCCGGTGTAACTATCGCCTGCAATTCATCTTCTGGATAGAAGAAAAGTTTCAGTTTGAATGAATGCAGTTTTTAGTCTCTTCTAATCTTGTCACAAGTTTCGAGGCAACCAACCCAATTATGGGTAACTCGGAGAAGTTCATTGTATCTGTATTTCTGTACCAAGAAATAAATAAATCGGGTGCCAGACTATTTTTCCAGGGAATACTGATCGTAAGAAATAATAGGTCTAGTAGACAACAACAAAACAGCACACTCGATCAAAACTTATTCCTGGTTGGCCAACTCACAGCAAAAAATGTATAACCAGCTAAAATAAACAAACATATATACTTATAAGAACTAAAAGATAGTCTGATCTAATTTTCAACGTCGCGCTCAACGATCTTGTACAATCTCCTCGAGATTCTCTTGAGCTCCTTGGCAATCTCACCAATTTCTCTCTGCTTCTCACGAACTGCCTTGAGGTCCTCTGGAGTCCTGTAATCCAAAAACCATAAAAAAATGTCCAGAAAGTGATTTTTTTTTTTACTTCCATCTCTGCAGGCCAGCCCCTCCCCTCTTTATTGCTCCGACTGGGCCCTTGCTGTTCTACTTATGCTCTTCTCCTCTTCCCGAACCGCCTGAGCATTTTAGACCCTACGCAGTCATCGCCCAGGTTTCTTATGGAGTCCTCCATCTGATTCGGCCACCCTATCCACTAAAAAAAAGTCTATTATCTTTCTTCCCTTTTTCAACCTTCAACAATGGCAGCAATTCAATTGTGTTGCTGAGGCAATTTTTTATCACCTGTGTGCACTTACATTTTGTTCTCAGGCAACTCATTATCAGATTATATCAAATCTCAAATTCAAAATTTGGGTAAACAATTTAGTATTATTATTATATTACAATTAATTAAGGTTTTTAGTTGAGATGAAAAAAAGTTAATGGCACGAGAGGGATTCGAACCCACGACCTTCGGCTAGATACACTGCTGCTCTACCACCTGAGCAATCGTGACCTCGGACATCAACTCAGTGAATTTAATGATTAAAATGAAGTACACTTCACTAAAGCTCTCCGTCGCCATTTCAATTGTCGTCGAGAATCCAAACTGATTACACGACATTTGAAAAATGGCAAAAGGAGGGAAAACTCATAAGGTGGGGTTGAGATGGGGAGTTGATGTCCAAGTGGATCGATGTCACGATAGCTCAGGTGGTAGAGCAGCGGCGTATCTAGCCAAAGGTCGTGGGTTCGAATACCTCTCGTGCCATTAACGTTTTTTCATCTCAACTAAAAACCTTAATTAATTTTAATGTATTAATTGGTCAAGCGGACCACGAAATTAGTGAATTTAGGAATTATTATTATATTTTTAATATTTAAAGTGTTGGAGAGAGTCAGTCAACCGAAAATAAAGAAAAGAAAATGAAGCTTCTCGGGCATCAACAGAAAGCATGGTTTTAAGCTGAGAAGATCACACCTGGGCAGATGCTTTAGCCACAGTCGGTCGTAACGTCTGTTATATAGCCCATGTCCTGAGTGCCATGCTGTACCATTGAAGATGGTCTAGTGGGGGCACCGAAGATAAGTTAGAAGATACGACTGCCAGAGGCAATAATTTTATTACTTCTACACCGTGAAACCGTCTGGTCTTTCTTTCTTTGTCCTCTGTTCCTTAGCCTCTTCGGGCTCTATCAGAGATTTTTGCATTTGCAACTTGCACTGCCAGACGGTCGTAAACCTTACTCCATCAAGCATTAGTCAGATATATATTAACTTATCTGTCCGGGATGGACCGCGCGAAGGAGCTTGATCGGGATCTGGAGCGGGTTTTCCTTTTATTTTTTTTGTACTTTTTTCCTTTTTTTGTTTCCAATTTATAGTTACAGTTTACAATCTCCCATTTTTTTTTTATAAATAAATAAATACTAACAATTAAATAATACATGCAATTTATAAATAGAATTCAATAAATATCACAGCCAATTTTTTTTTCTTTCTTTTTTTGTGCCGTGTCGAGTGGAATGATCCAAGACTTAATTTTCATTATTGCGTGGGTGAATTGCTTTGTGGCCAGAAAATTCTCCTTTGTGTCAACCATTTTCGGAGTTAGCCCTTCATTAATCCCTCTGTGGTTTATTTTTCTTAACCAAATTTCTCTTGGTACAGCATATCGTTCACATTCAAATACCACATGTGATAACATCTCCTCTGGTGATTCACATTCGCATATTGGTGATTATTTTAGGCGGAAGGAATATAACTTAGCCTTGAAGTCCCCGTGATCTGTTAAAATTTGACATAAATAGTGGTCAAGTTCCACATGCTTCATTTTTTGACGTTTATCTATGTTTGGGAAAAATCTATACGTCGTCCTTCCTTTTGTGTAGTTGGACCATCTTCTTTGCTACTCGTGAATTCCCCAATCTAATATGGCCGATCCGTTTTGAAAATTGATGGATGTCTCAGCGTCATTATCTAGCTCCCATTTTATGGTGTCCATTTTTAATTTAATGTCTATTGGGAATTGACCTGTAATTACCTGGAGGGATTCGGTTGAACATGTTCGATACACCTTTGTGCATAAAAGTGCTCTTTGTGCTTGAATTAGCACTCGCTTCGGCGGTACATATACTAAAATTGGAATGATACAGAGAAGATTAGCATGGCCCCTGCGTAAGGATGACACGCAAAATCGTGAAGCGTTCTACACTATGAAACCACAATTTGACCACTTCCTTGATAGGTAGTCAACTCCATATGGTCCATAATGTATAGGTGAGCTCTAAAACAGTTATCAGAAGGCCTCATGAAAATAGCTTAATCTCTTGACGCCCTTTGTACTAGTGGATCTGATAGAAAGGCGACTATTTGAAAATCAGCATCTTGCTTGGACATTTTAACAATGGGGGGCTGTCCTTTTCACAGATGAATGCCAGTTTGGTTTGTGGCAATCAGATGACGGACCGTGTGCAGAAAGCTGTTTCGTGTGCCATGCTGATCCCAGCCTTTCAAAGACAGTTCATGGTATGGGGTGGAATCATAGTCCATGCCTTTACCGATTATCATTCAGAATGGATCTTCAATTGCTCTAAGGTACATTAAGGATGTTCTTCCAATTCGCGCCATTTAGTGGAACTATATGTTATTGCATGGTAATGTTCAACCTTATGTAGCTTGAGTTGTCATCCTACACTTGGATTGCCGCAATGAATTGACCAGCATGAATCCCATAGAACAGTTATCGGACATGACAACAGATTGGTTAGACATCACTTGCTGCCTTCAACAAATGTTGAAGAGCCTCAAACTGCTATTTTTCAAAAATGGAATTCTGTCTCACAAGAGAAAAAACAATTGCTTTATTTACTTGCTGCCTAGAAGATTTAAGGCACCCTACGAGGCCAGAGCGTTTGTGTTATTTAGAGCAAAACCAGGTCATCCCAGTATCCACGTACATGGTATAAAGATATTGAATAACAGTTTTTTTAATGTATATATTTTTTTTAATGAGGGGTTTGCAACAGCAGAGGTCATGGCAATCCCATCAACCTCTAGAGTGTCGGTTACAAAAAGCCCATTTGTAAATATGGAGTAAGCTGAATTCAAAACCACGACGCTGCCCCGAGTCGGTGTTAGTTACACAAAATTGATGACACCACCAACAGGTAAGTAAAAATGTAAAATAGACCCTGTAGCAGAGGTGAGAACCATTTTGCAATACTTTTGTCATATATTCTCAGTTGGGATGCATACCCAGAACCACAAACGAGGCAAATTAAAGTCAGACGCCCTAACCACTCAGCCACCGCAGTCAAATAATTACCAATGGGGTATGATTTTAATATTAGCTATGTTAAAATGAGGGCTGTCTACCCTTTGGGTGTTGTGGGTGAGGGATCAAACCACTTTACAATACTTTCTCCATATTATTCACAATTAAAAATCCACGGGGTATGCTGGGATTCGAACCCAGAACTTCTAGCATGGTAAATGTATGCAAGCTATGTTAAAGCACCTTGTTTCACCATTAAATCAACTTTTTAAAGGTTCATTCACTGAAATGGAAAAAAAAACTGATGAGCCAGAAAATACAATTGAATTAATAATGTGTAGAGATTAGTGACCGTTAATCGATAGTTATTCAGATATCGTGAGATGCGGTCAGGTGTGATGTAGGTTTCAGAAAAACATTTTCTTTATCGTGCCAACGTTTCGTCTTTTATTGAGATCTCTTCAGGCACTCTCAACACGACACGCAAGGATGGCACTATTACACAGAAGACAAACACTTTGAGCCCTGAAGATGATCTCAATAAAAGATCGAAACGTTGGCACGATAAAATGTTTTTCTGAAACCTACATCACACCCGACCGCATCTCACAATATCTGAATAACTATGAATTAATAATTAACAATTTTAGAAAAGATAATGAGATAAATTAATGGACATATAAAGCAAAAAATGCTCAAACACGACATTCTTATGGCTAAATGCGAGGACATTTAATGTATACGCCTAATTACTTTTTATGTGGAATGAAAGTAAGGTTAAAAAAAAAATAGAGTTAATATTCATACATATTTATTTTTACACTCACATCACTGTACAAATGGGAATGGAATGAACACAAAAACAACCAAACAAAACTCTACTCTAGGGGTGAGTTTATTCAGAAAATGAACTTAACCCAAACGGTGCTCACCTACACAATTTTCCACAGTTTCCAGCTACTCCTGGTTTCTTCTTTCTGCTATTGCCTTGACGCTCAACAGTCGACTCATCTGGCTGTCCTCTTTTTGACTTTAGCTGAGGTTCTATCCTTTCTACTACTTTCCAAACAAAATGACTTCCTCCATCATGTTGTTCTTCGACTGTCGACTCTATTTGACTTGTCTGATTGGCTGTCCCCTTTCTGACTCTAGCTGATTGAGTCTATCCTTTATTCTGCTTTGCAAACAAATTGACATCCTATATCGCGCCGCTCGTTGCAAGTCAACTGTTTTGACTTGTTTGCCTGTCCCCTTTCTGACTCTAGCAGACTGAATCCTCTGACTGAGTCTGCCCTTTCTGCTGCTGCCCAGGCACTGAACAGTCAACTCACCCTGAATTGGGTTGCTCTTTGACAGTTGACTCTGACTCATATCGACCCTCGATAGTCATGTCTGTCTGACTGACCCATTTTTGCTTTTCCCAATCTAATCCCTTTTATATTGGTTTCCCAACAAGGACGGAGGGGAAGGAATGCCCTTCTTGCAAGCTTTGGTCATGACCTGGTTGTCCTGCAACCCGTTGTAATTCTAGAGTGCTTCTATTATGTAGCTCTCTGGTCCTTTGTTGATATCCTTACAGTGTAATGCAAAGTCCGTCCAGTTGACAAAGTCCCAAATTTATGGTGTCCCTCAGCTTGATGAGCCTTGTCCAATATGCGAAAACTTTCCCTCAATAAATAACTTTTTCTTTTTTGTTATTTATTGGGGATATTGCTTGTCGCATTTCTGCAACCTTCAGGTTTTTAAAAAACATTCCTTCGTTCAGTACTGGGTTGGTGAGCCCTCAGTAATAACTAATCCTAGCTTACTTATTGTCTGTGTGTTGATGAACTCATGGTGAACCGGCATTGGATCATTTGCAGGTTAGTTGAACTATTCAAACGTATTTTGGCATTGTGCCATCTCAATCTAGTTCCATACTGAAGATGAACTACTGAACGCGGTTGAGAAGTTCAACAAGTCCACGATGATGACAGACTAAATAAGTGACCCAGTGCCGGTTCAGGATTACTTATCCTAACTTATATTAATATGTGGACTGGCTTACTCAATAAAAATTCATTTGTCTTTAAAATATATCTTTCCACTGGAGCAATGGATGAATATGAAGTTCTTTTATAGTCTGCTGAGATGATCTACTGCTAATGCAAGTTTCCTTATGTTGCTTAAACAACCTGCTGAAGCTTCTTGTAAAGATTCGTCAGATGATGAAATCGTTTGTAATAAATACTATAAAATTTATCACTTCGTGAGATATAGTGTCATATTAATAATAGATTAATATGACTTACTGGTACGACGCCGCTATGATGGAGTGTCACACAGTTGAACGGGTCTTGTGATATGTTATTCAAGGCAAGTGCGGTCGTCCTGTGGACTCTCCTTTCTTTGCTCCCCATGTAAGTTACAAGAGGTGCAACTGCTCCTAATCGTCCAAATTCAAAGCAATTGTTTCCCCATTTACAACACTGAGCTATAGCCATAGCGAGGTGTTCACGTAGATCATCCTCTTCCTGCAAATTGGATATGAGTAGAATGTTTTATTTGTGATACTTTGTCTGTCTTTTGACACTGACAGCATGGACAAGATTGCAAAGTAAAGGAACAACACCATGGTCTGTTATTACTGCTAAATTATCCTGATCTTGTGCTATATGGGCTAAAGCAGCGCATACACTTGCCAAAACCGCTTTGTCTTTACTCTTTAAAAGGCTTACAATTAATTCTAATCCTCCAACCAAACTTCTGACCGTCTCTCCACAGTCCTGAAAAAGAAATATGAAAGTTTTATCAAATGGTATTTTCAGAGAATAATTATTTACATTAGAATTGCTAATGCAAGGAACCAAGGCCCAAGCTGCGCTGGCTTGAACTCGGGGTGATTTATTTTTCAGCAGTGACCAAATTAATCTTACTCCATCGAGCTCCTCTATTTTAGCCATACATTCAACTTCATTTCCACATTCTCCAAGAACTTTTGTCACATTTTCTAATAAAGCTCGATTTGTTAAATTCAACAACGAAACAAGAGCTTCTATACCACCACTTTTACCAATATTGTCTCGATTGTGTTGTAATTTTGCACACTCGGCAAGGGCTCCAGCAACATTTTTTAATACCTACATCAAACAATTTAATTAGGCAACATTGTTGTAAAGAAGAATGCGTAAATTGACCTGTTCATCTTCATCTTTCAAGAGTTCAACAAGAACTGTTATAATATCAAGTTGATCCAACCTTCGAACATTATCTATCGACTTTGCACACTTCCATATTGCTCCTGTTGCAGCCGACAATAGAGCCTTATCCTCTTTATTTTCCTCTTTGCTTATTAACTCGACAAGCGGCTCTAGCCCGCCGAATTCCCTGACTAATCTCCTCGTGTGCTCGTCCTCTGCACACTTGAAACACATATCATACAAACACCATTACATATCACAAATCAAGCTTTCATTATGTTATACCTTGAAAATAGCAGAAGCACAGTGCTTTTTTAGCAGCGCATTTTCCGCAGAAAGAAATCTAACCATATCACCAATCATTGACTCACTTTGAATGTCAAGTTGATAACATCTCTGTAAATATTAAAGAACTGTGCTGGAAAAAATGATCATTTGCTAATTCATGATTTTTCTTATGTAGAAAAAATTTTCAAAAAATTTTAACTTTCACACATCAAACATCTTACTTAGGTACCTAACCCTTATAATAGAAGACCTAACCCTTATAGATAGAGCCACCCAAAATAAGAGTAGTTTTTGAACCAAGTATCTCGGTCCACCTGTTATGTATTAAATGTCTTGAGATAAATATGTAGTGAAAGTATTTGCCATCATGAATGTTTGGAGTATATACATTGATAACCTATTAGCCTACTTAGCTCTGTTAGTAAGGTACTCGAGCATGTTATGCTCTCCTGCAATTCCTGAATGAAAACAGCATCATTATGCTGAAACAAAATTTGGACAGCCACTCCCCAATTAGCCAGGATAATAGATGACTATTAAGTTTAATGTATAAAAACCTACTGGCATGGTTTTGATAGATTTCCAAACATACACTTTTTGGCATAATAGTACAGTCAACAGGATACTTCTCACCCCAAATAATAAAAATAGTCCACTACTATCTCTTATCCAGAAAATTCTGAGATTCTTTTCGGTCATGCCTGTCCCAACTTAGAAACATTCATTGTTGATGGTGTTCCTCAAGGCTCTATCCTTAGACCTGTCCTGTTCTTTGTATATATCAACAAAATACCTCTCTTTTTACTCTTCCTCTTGAGGATAGATATAATGTAGAACAGGTTAGACTGCGCAATGTGCTGAATAGTAAGATTCTTCAGCTGTTTGAAAACTAAAATTAATCATAATAATAAAGAGGCAATAGTTTTCAGAAAGCATTGACTGTTATTGTAAATACTAAAATTGAAGGTGTATCTGTGTCATGGTCTGAGTCGGTCAAATATCTTGGGGTGATATAGCTAATGATAAACAAGGGCTTAGCGGCTATTCATGTATTTTTCTCTATGCTTTGTCGTCAGTTCAGTCTGTCATGGGCCAATAAATTTGTGCTAACAAACATTGAAGCTGGTGTTCCTCAGGGCTCTGTCCTTGGACCTAACCTGTTCAAAAGAACACCTAGCCCAAAGAACGTAAAAATGGCTCTCTATGCTGACATTGTTGCTCTCTACTCTTCCTCTTGGAGGAAAGAAATAATATCGAACAGGTTAGATATTGCAATGCAATACGACTTCTGTACGAAGTGGTCAGGCTGATGCTTATGCGTGTCCCTCTGGGAGTCTCACATGCAGGACTAATGCCACCAAACTGCAGGCTGTGTAGAACAAGTTTCTAAGGCTGTGATAGACTCACAGTACAATGCATTCTTGTGATGGAATAATCAATAATTTTTTAAACAATGCAAGGCTAGTACCAGTACAATCTGTTCCCAGTTATGTAATTACAGTTTGTACGACAGTTGTACAGAGGAATAAAGAATGCTCTCCTTTAACTTGGAGGTTTTTTAAAACTAATTTCCCCATAAAAACAAACAATGTATTGTAATAATAATTTTATTGTAACTTAACCAGCTGGAGGTAGTTTCTACAAGATGATCATCCTTAACTTCTTGATCATCCTCTATTGCTATGGGTTGTACTACCTTTGCCAAGTATATTTCCATACCTCTGAGATATGTACTAGTTCATAGCCTAAAAATGCTAACCACTTAGGTTAATTTTATTCTTTATATAAAAGGTGATGGAGGAATATTGCTCTCACAGTCACTTTCCCTCCTGCTAGAAGGAATCCAAGGTCATATAATGAAACCTGGAAAGTCACCAACTAATCCTACTAATTATAGACCTATCAGCCTTCTCAGCACAATTAGCAAAATATTTGAAAAAATATTACTGACATGTATATACCGTCACCTCTTCTCCAACAACATAATATCTGAGTGCCAACATGGGTTTCGTCCGGGATTAAGCGCGACAACTCAATTATCCAGAGTTGTCGATCATGTGACACTGAATTTTAATTTAAAAAAACACACGGGGATGGTTTTGCTCGACATGGAGAAGGCATTTGAAACGGTTTGGCACAAAGGTATTGTCTATAGGTTTATAAAAGACAAATTCCCAAGCTACATTGTGAGAATAATAGCTATCTACAAAAAAGGACATTCAGGGTAACCTCCAATGAAATTGTCTCACCACTGTGTAAAATTCCCGCTGGAGTTCCACAAGGTTCGGTTCTAGGGCCAACCTTGTTCAATATATTTATGAATGCACTCCCTAGGCTAGACTGTGAAATAGCTATGTATGCTGATGACATGATACTGTTCATCGTGGAGGGTAAGTGCTATTACTAACAAATTGAACCAAAACCTCCATAGGATCGTTAGGTTTTGCCACAGATGGAAACTCCGGTTAAACACAACAAAAACTGAGGCAATTCTATTCACAAAACGACATCCTATACATAGGGAATTTATAAGAATCGGTGACTCAAATGTTCCTTGGCGCAATAGTGTTCAATACCTTGGTTTACACCTCGATAGCAAGCATAACTTTGGTACCAACACTTGTAAAAAGGTTGATAAAGGGAAGTGTGCTATCAAGACTCTGTTCCCTTTAATGTGTAGAGAATCTGGGATTCGCCCCCAAAATAAACTCATTATATATAAAACCATAGTCAGACCAATGCTGTTATACGCCTGTTAGGTATGGAGCTACACAAGTAACACCAATGTAAAGTGCCTACAAACCATTCAAAATAAATTTTTAAGGTTAATTACATCCTCTAAAAGAAGTGTTCGTATAAATTATATGCACGGAATTTTAAACATCCCATACATTAAGGATGGTATCAAAAGGATCACTAGCTTCTTTTATGAACGTAGCGCTGAGAGTACAAATATGACAGACAGTAAAGAATGTAGGAAACTATAACCTCAACAAAAATTGGAAACACAGGAGGATCAAACACATTTTAGTATGACTGCTTTGTATATTTATTCACTGTGATATTATTTATTAAATTGTTTTTTTTTTGCCTTATGATCTTTGCATATTAGCCATGTCGAATTCTTATAGATGTTGTTCAAATTGGGGGTTATCGGGAAAAAAGGGCCAGAGGCGACGGTGGGAATCGAACCCACGACTGCGGTGTGAGAGTCTCTCATGCTAACCACTCGGCTACCGCGGTCCCCATATTAAATTAAATTGTTAATTTTACGGTTTATATATGTATTTATTTATTTACCAAATTAGTAAATGTCAGACTATGTATTGTCACAAGTCTAATCAATGATTTTAACTCATAATAATTAGTAATTATTGATTAACTTGCTTATTTATTAACTTATTTATGAAATTAGCTAATATTAAAGAAATGTGTTGTTTATCAAACTTATCTATTGTACATATGTAGTCAATGACTTATGATTTATAATTTATAATATATGTAATTATTTGTAACTTCCCTATTTATTAATGTATTCTTTCTGCAAGTGGTTTTTAGTATAATTTTCACCACTGTTCTTATTTCTCTAGGCCAAATCAACAAATATTGTAAATATACTTAAGCCCTCTGCCACAAGGATGTATAATGTCCTAGACATTTCCCCTTGTAGTCACTTTGTACAAAATGTATGTAAAAGTATCTAATAAATAAACTATATAGGAATATTGAATACTTTATTGTCAAACTGACAAGTGCATAATGATACAACCTAATGCAAATAAGTAATATATTTAAGTATGAATGATATATAAGTTGTTTATAAGTTGCATGCATGAATGGTCACAACCGATAACACTGGAGACTAACTTCAGCAACAAAATTGACTTCTATCATTTGTCTAATAACATAAGAATAAGCCATTTTCATATCTCACCATGACAAGCATGACAAGTTTAATCATAATAATAAATTAAATTAAGAAGAAAACCATAAATAACTATATCTTATTTAGGTTATCTTTATTTTATGAAAAGATCTTTATACGGCATACCCAATGTTTTTCTACTAAAAACATTGCACAACATATAAAGTTGAAATTTTATAAAAAAAAGTGTCATTACTTCAGATGAACATTCATCAATTGTCCCAAGAGTGTAAAGTAGAATATCTTCATGTACTGATGAAAGAAACCTGGCTAGTATTGAAACAAGGCCAGCTTTTCTCATTAATTCTTTATTCCGCCTTGATAAAGAAAGAGCCCACAGTGCTTTTCCACTGCCAGTCACTATGTTTAAAATCTGTAAATAATGAAGTTAGGTTAATATTGGTTGTTTTAATAATATTCTTATCTAAATACCTTCTGTTCAGCATCTGTTAATGAGCTTGTAGGTGTTGTGAGGAAACTCTTTGGAACGTCTAAAAGGTCAACCTAGAACACGACATTAAAAAAACCACACATAATATTTGCTTGGATTGAATATTACCAGTATCGGTATGCCTCCTGCATGTCTGACTAGGTTCCTTGCTTTTGAAGTAGTCGCCAAGTAAGAAATCGTCGTCGCTGCTAGACTTTGAAGCTGTGGTTCAGACGATTTGAGAAGACCGACAAGAAGTGGAACGGCGCCAAGTTCAGTCAATTCTTTTTTTACATCGTTCTTCTCTGATACAGATTCTAATACTTGCAGGGAGCCTAACTAAATTGACAAGTAAATATGCATTGGCTCTTTGTATTATTTAAAAAATACATACCACACATTTGTGAACGTTTGTTTCCAACAAGTTGATTAATATTTCCAAACCTCCGATATCCTTAATTGCCAACAAGGCTATATCTGAATTCAAGTCAAGATCTTTCATACATGCCAGGGCGATTATTGTGGCAGTTTGATTTCCGACCTGAAAGTTGAATGATAAGAGCACCATTTTGGTTGACGATTTACGCCCTTGACCACGATATATTTACATTACATCTTTTATAAAGTAGTTGTTATAAATTAAAAAATGAGATATCATCAACGAAGGAGGGGAACTGCATAACAGAAGCAGCCCTGTCCATTGTGTGACCATTCTTCATCATTTCAATATACTATAAAGGAGAAGAATCTAATAATTTTCTTTCTGATGCATCAAAAATCAATTTAATCCCTCGTAAACTATTCAATGGATATTGTTAAAATCCATTGTTTTAATGGAGTTGAAATATATTGCCGTGTAGATAAGGCTGAGGCCTCATTTCATTGCCTCGGCCCTGCATTTCTCTCCTGCTTTATACTTATGGTACGTTCTGTTTAGTATATAAAAAAGGGTCTACCTGCATTTAAGTCAGACTAATACCTAGACTTTTTGTCTAGTCTCTATGCTTATGAAAAAGAACTGTCACCAAATCTGGCCAACCCATTGCTACAGATGGCTCAGAGGAGTGATAGGACTATATATCTCCCTGACTATATATCACCTAAAGCATAGTACGCATGGGATTCTTTGTCGCGGAGCTACATCTGGGATTCATTTTCTTGCATCTGGAACGCTCGGCAAAAATGAATTTTGAATCTGGTATGCTGTGTTTTAGTATTTTTGAATCCTATCCAAACAAAATTTCAGAATCCCGTTCCCATCTAAGTGTGTCAAGAAGATCGTGCCCATGCTTATTCCGATCCTTGAATATCCCACGAATCCACCAATGTGGTGGCTTTTTGGCTTTTTCACTCTGTAGAGCTACATAAAGTGCTACTGCAATCCCCGAGAGCGCAACCTCGTTTGACATGGCTCAGACACAAACTAGACGCAAACACGATTTCCGAAGTGATAATATTGCGGGCGAAGAGTCTGCGACAAAGAGTCTGAACAAAGAATTCCAGTGCATACTAGGCTTAAGAGACGACGATGTTCTTTTTTGTCCTTGTATCTTAGAAAATCTTAAAAGAGATTACACTTAGATCCTTGCAAGATCAGATTAATTTTTCCAGGGTTTTTGGTCTCTATTGAGCGGTTGCTTTGCCTCCTCATTGCATAACCTAAATGGATCATTGAATCCATGTTGTAGGTGTTTGCAGATGCCGGGGACTGGTAGTTCTATCACTTCCCTGCGTTCAGCCTTCTCTAACTGTAACTGTGAGTTTGCCAGTCTTGGTGAAGGTTGTTTTAATATAAGTTTATTGTGGCTAGCGCCCCCTTGAGCTTATCCACTTGTCCTTTGTCTTCGTTGGATCCATTCTGTTTTTTTTTGTTATACCAAGAATGGTTCAGGGTCTACAGGGTGTCCCTGTTCCTTCTGACGAAACTCAGGGAATCGATTCTACTCTTTGTTTGGAGCAAAAAATGCTCAGGAGAAAATTTTCGGAAAGTTCTCTATTTTGAAGATATTCGTCAATTTAGGTTTTTTCAACTTTTCACTACCTTACCACATAAAAACGCTTACAACTTCCAAAATGTTGAGACTACAACAAATCCAATTAGACCATTTGAAAGAACGCTAAATTTGCTGTAAGATACTTCTTTACAATAATCTGAACGACATAAAATGTTAGCCAATATCAGTTGGAACATGTCAAAATTACAAAATTTAAAATTTTGGTCATGATTACAAAAAAATACCTACAACTTGTCAAATTTTACAAAAACTTCTTCATCTAATATGCTTTATGTTGATATATCCAGGTTTTTAAATAACGTTCTAGTAGAGTTGAAAAATAACAATTGAATGTTCGAAAACGTGAGCTAAGGTAAATTAGAAGGGGAGGGGCATAGAAATTCAGCAAGTCATTTATGCATTCGAGAAGAGGGAAAACATTTTGAGAATTTCCTCTGAAAAGTTCCCCCTTTGTTGTTAGGTACTTGCTACAAGAAGAACCATTGAATTTTATTGTATGAAGCTTTCTGGTATGGTTTTTGTGAGATTACAGATGTGTCATTTTTATTTTACAAAGCGAGTTCTAATTGATTGATTTCTACTCCCCTTCAAATTTACCTTAGCTCAAGTTTTCGAACATTCAATTGTTATTTTTCAACTCTACTAGAACGTTATTTAAAAACCTGTATATATCAACGTAAAGCATATTAGATGAAGAAGTTTTTATAAAATTTGTCAAGTTGTAGGTATTTTTTTGTAACCTCAGTAGAAAGTGCAATCATGACCAAAATTTTAAATTTTGTAATTTTGACATGTTCCAACTGATATTGGCTAACATTTTATGTCATTCAGATTATTGGAAAGAAGTATCTTACAGCAAATTTAGTGTTCTTTCCAATGGTGTAATTTGGATTTGTTGCAGTCTCAACATTTTGGAAGTTGTAAGTGTTTTTATGCGGTAAGCTAGTGAAAAGTTGAAAAAACCTAAATTGACGAATATCTTCAAAATAGAGAACTTTCCGAAAATTTTCTCCTGAGCATTTTTTGCTCCAAACAAAGAGTAGAATCGATTCCCTGAGTTTCGTCAGAAGGAACTGGGACACCCTGTATATATGGTCTTGCAGCTCCTTCTCTGGCCAGTATGTCTGCTTTTTCGCTACTCAAAATTCCTTTGTGTCATGGTACCCAAGTATCATCAGGTTGTAGTGTTTCCCCAGGTTTTGCAGATTTTAGAAAGAGAATTTGGAAATTTTTTTATACTGACTAATTTTGATGTGATTTTTTACATGCTAATGCTTTAATAGCTGCTTGGCTATCTGATCTTTTGAGCATCTAAATGTAATCTCTATGAAGATTTTCTAAGATATAAGGACGAAAAAGAACCTTGTTGCCTCTTAGGCAATGCAACCTGTACAGGGAAATATATAGTCCTATCCCTCCTTTGGGCCATCTGTAATTGTATCAGTGAGTTGGCCAGTTTTGATGGCTTCTTTTTCATAAGCATACTGAGTTACTAAGTCTAGAGGAACAATCTAGGTATAAATCTAACTTAAATGGAAGTAGACCCTTTTTGATATACTAAAGGGAGTGTACCATATGTACATATACAAATATGAGGCAGGCGAGAAATGCAGGGCGGTGATGAAATGGCCTTATCTACGACTATATATTTTCACCCCATTAAAATGATGGATTTCAACAATATCCATTGAATAGTTGACAGAGGATGAAGTTAATTTTTAATGCAACGAAAAGGAAATCATATGGTTCTTGTCCGTTAGTCATTAGTTAGTTAGTTGCCGTTAGTCCCCATATAGTTTGATTGTTTTTGGAGTCTGGATGAGCTTTTCCTAGCTTCTACATGATAGGGTTGTTTTTCTTGTATAGTTACATCGTAAATTGTTCACTTATTCTTTTGTTTTTTGAGGACCTATTCTGAGATGGTATCTATGTTTGATTTTGTTATACAAAATATAGGTTATGGGCTTAGTTGGTTTGAAGATCTTCCTCTGACCAATTTGCCAAAATTCCTTCATGGCTTGGCATCCAAGATATTACCAGGTTGTTCTTTTCCCAGTGTTTGGAGATTCACCGACTGTTTTGGATGTGACCCTTTTTCGTACAAATGCTTGATGTCTGTACTTATGAAGATTTTTTTGCCTCTTCCTCTTGTATGTTGTCTGATGAGAGTTACATAATAGAGAACCTTTTCAATTTTCTAAAGCTGATATTTTATCTAAAATGTAGAAAACTAGGAAAATAGTTGAGTTTCCTCGGTAGCACTTGTGTGAGGGTGGTGGTTGAAGCTGCCGGCGGGTGCTGTGGACTTTTCTGTTGTCCATTATTTTTTTCAAGACAAATTATCAATAAGGTGTATTAGTAGGTTATTTATGCATAGTGGTTCCTTTACAAATTTTCTTTAAAAAACTTTTTAAGTATTTTCAGGACTGCCGCCGTGTGGTAGGTTTAATGCAGAAATGATTCACGTACCTTGATGTACTTCAGAAGTTTCTGGAGATGCCAATATTCGGATGGCAAGTCCGACTTGTTTGTCGTTGTATCGTCGTGCCATTTTTCTTGGTCTAGAGAATCACTTTCTTCTGAATCGCTGTCGGACATTTTCACCCTTTTCGTAGCAACGGGACAACAACTGCATAACAACTCGCTCGGACATTCACAAAATCAGTGCATTAACTCGCTTGTACTCGTGCTTTTCTTTATTAATTGGTCCGTCAGTTACGTTTCGGTGATTCGCCATCTTCAGAAGAACCAGCACAATGAGGATAGGCAGACCAAAATGATCGTTAACGGCCAACTTAAAGTACAAAAATTCTAAAATTTGTTGATTTCTTTTCTTTTATTATGAAAGCTCCTTTATAGAACAGTCACTTACAAAAAATCCTTTTGCTTTCCGATTAGTACTACTTCTGGGTCTACTTGTATTGGAAAAAATCATGCGAAAATATAGAGCGAGACGTCCCACTCCATTGACTACTGAAAATTTTAACTTATAATTTTTATACTCTATGCAGGAGTATAACTAACACTGAAAAAGAGTTTTACCTAAAAATAATCATTAATTAACGGTCACTAAATACTACACAAAATATTATATTTGTAATGGTGGACCAATAGAGGTAAAAGAGAAAAGTACAAAGAGAAAAGAGAGAGAAAAGTATTATATTGTTTTAAAATGAAAAAAATATGGAAAAACGAATAATTCTACATAAGAAATATTTTACATATAAGAAAAATTACTACAAAAATAAATAAAAAAATAAAATAAAATAGAAAATACAAACAAAAACAAACAAATGTTAATCCTCATTTTTATGAACGGATTTATTTAAGAGTATTAAACATGAACATTTTTAAAACAAACACCTTTTCTCGTCTTTCCTTTTCTCCATTTTAATCCAGTTGTATTCTCTGTAACCATGGAAAGACATCATTATGAACCAGAAGTTCGCAATATTATTGAGAGAATGAGTCATCCAGGTCATCGGAAAGTGGATATCGCAGAGGTAGTTGGTGGTTTCTCTGGTTTCTCAGATGGTCTCCAGGGCTTTAGCCCGATTCCGAGAGATTGGAAATAAGAGCACTGGTAATGGATCTCAGTGCATTTTGACGCCAAGGAAGGACAGAAATATTGTCATTGCTGCAAGTCGGAACTCTGTCCATAGTGCCGGCCAGATCCTAAATGAAATACAAGATGTTTTGGCAAGGTCTTTATCAATACAAACGATTCGTACTTGGCCTCACATCGTACGCCTCTTTGAGACATCCTGCAGCAACAGCCCGCCACCATCAACTCAGGAGAATCATTAGGTTCCCGCACTCGTTCGTCCTTAAAAGAACAATGAGGATCTTTAACGTCCGCACCTAGCCGTTCAGGCCTTATAGGACGTTTTGATTCTCAAGATGAGAGCTGACGCACCTCCGCATTTTAGAGCACTAACCAGCTGCTATAGATTAATTAGTGAAGGCAGCTGGAACCATAAGGGAAACAACATAGGTCACTCGAAAATTCTACAATTATTGAGTAAGGTCAACAACCAACTACTAAGCGTTAGCGATAAAAAGGTTAAAACACCTTTAGGGAATAAGCACTTTCATGTAGTTACTCCCTGTGATTATAACTATAGTGCGGATGATGACCATCGTAGCCTAGACTGCTTCACCGATGGCTCACTCATTAAGGACAAGGGAAGCGGTGCTGGAATACATATACCTAAATTAGGGATCAGCATCTCCTCCCCTCTTGGTAATAACACCTCAGTCTTTCAGGCGGAGGTCTGGGCCAACAATGTTTGCTGCAGAACACTCATGGATAACAAGATTAAGAGAAAAGATATTAGAATTTTTTCCGACAGTCAGGCCAGTCTTAAGTCATTACAAAAAGAGTTATCAACATCTAGGCTGGTAGAGGAAACCGTTGAACTTATTAATAGGATTACTACCAGGTACGAGAATAGGGTAACCCTCATATGGATACCAGCTCATAAGGGGCACTATGGCAATGAAGAGGTGGACAGCCTGGCCAAAGAAGGCTCAAATACTGCGTTTGTCGGGCCACAACCGGTATTACCTCACTCTATGAGCACGGCGAAAGAGAGTATCAATAACTGGGGCATGAAACAATTCCTTAGGGAGTGGAATTTATCCCCCGGACACAGGCAATCGAAAGAGTTTGTTAATGCGATCAAACCAGCTGAATCGAAATGGCTAGTCTCTATCTCAAGGAAGGGAATTAGGAGGCTGATAGGTATTCTGACAGGCCATTGCCCCTTGAGAAGACACCTCTTCATAATGGGTATTTTACCAGACCCCTTTTGCCGCTTCAGTGAAATAAAAGAAGAAACGGATCGACACTACCTCGCAGAATGTGATAGGTATGCCAGGGATAGATTTGAAACTTTTGAAGGAGAGGACATTGCTAAATCAGTCCCCAAGATAAAATGGTCCAAAATCTTGGGGTTTGTGAACAGGTCCAAGAGGTTTATGCAGGAGCCGACCAAGACCCGGACCTTTTAGGGATGGGGTACGAGTCTACCTAGGCATTTAACCCCTCGGGTCTTGGTCGCCCACCCTGTGTAATATATATATATATATATATATATACCTCCGCATACGACAGACGAGTGCTACAGCATTGGTGTAAAGGCAGTCCCGGCCCCGAGGAGCCAACCTCGCTCCCTGCTTGCCCAGTCCCAGTGGTCGGGTCCGCATTCAGCATCGAAACGTATGCCGTGCGCAAAGGGCTACCTAAGGCTACCTACCGAAGGGCTCCGGCAGGCACTGGTGCAGCAAATGCCTAGAACAGACCAATTGGAATGCTGTTATGTTTATTGATGAGTCGTCTTTTCTGTCTGTATAGTGATAGCAGGCGCTGAAGTGTCTACCGAGAACAGGGGTACGTAAAATGCCCCAGTTCGTGCTCCCTTCAGTACAGTTTGGAGGAGGCGGTGTAATAGTCTGGGCTGGGATTTACACTGGAGGACGAACCGGACTCCATATTGTTGAAGGCAACCTCACCGCAGTCCGTTATGTCCAAGAAATGATCGTGGAATAGACCTCAAACAAGGTATCTCATTGGCAGGGATGTTAGATTTCTAGATAACAATGCGAGACCTCATAGATGCAGAGTTGTTCATAAATGTTTTGAAAACCTGGAAATTTCCCATCTGCCCCTTCCCCCATTGTCTCCAGATCTCAATTCCATTGAGCACGTGTGGGATGCGTTGCAGCGAAGGCTTTTCGATCATCATCCGCAGCCAGTTGTCCTGCAACCACTCAGTGCAGCGTTGCAACATCCATGGAGTGAAATTCCGTATGAAATTAATGACAACTTTATTAACAGCATGCTTAACGGTGCACAGAAGCTTTAGCTAACAGAGGACATTATACACGGTATTAATTGTTTAAAACAATCCAACAAACAAAATGTTGCAATTAAAACCTTTTATTTTGTTATTTTTTAAAATACCTTAATTAAAATTTTTCTTCAGTAAAAATCGTAATAATTTCTAATAAATTTTAATGCGATTTATAATAAAACTGCTAGGGAAAGTAAATACTACAAAATTGGCAATATCGCTATTCATTTTTGAGCAGTTTAGTAAAAGAAAAAAAAAATCCGAAATCGAAGTACCCAAAAGGAAGAAACTACATCAAAGTTATATTTGGCGTAAGGTCATTGTGTGGGTATCGTAGAGTTGATATATTTGAAACTTTACAGAAATTTTACAGTGGTTTAGAATCCGTAAGGCCGTAAACTTTGTCTCTGTAAATCGACGAGGACCGGAAATATGCAATAAAATGTTTAAGGAGGTTGTGTTGATTTCATCCTTATTTTTCTCGCTTATAATGGTATAAATTAAATAAACCTTATTCACATAATTATTCAGAATCGTGAGATGCGGTCTGGTGCGATGTAGGTTTCAGAAAAACATTTTCTTTATCGTGCCAACGTTTCGATCTTTATTGAGATCATCTTCAGGGCTCAAAGTGTTTGTCTTCTGTGTAATTGTGCCATTCTTGCGTGTCGTGTTGAGAGTGCCAGAAGACAAACTTTGAGCCCTGAAGATGATCTCAATAAAGATCAAAACGTTGGTACGATAAAGAAAATGTTTTTCTGAAACCTACATCACACCAGACCGCATCTCACGATTTCTGAATAATTATCGATTAACGGTCACTAATCACCACACACTTATTCGCATAGGCTAAAAATCGAAATATTCAGCTTTCCAGCGGTTGTAATAACGTTGAATTCGGATAAAATCCAGAGGAGTTATGACTTTTTAAGTGGTAACATATGGTTGAGGACACGCGTGTAATACGCGGTTGACACACCTTTTGGGCCAAAGTCCCCGTCCAAGTCGGCCAACAAGTCTCATACAACTGAAAGTCATCTGTATATTTTGTACGTGGCGTGAAAAGGAAGTAAAAGCAAAAGAGATACTAGATGTATATTGAAAATAGAAGAGGGCCTAAGATGGACTCCCGTCGAACTACAGAATTAACAAAGCCAATATTAGATCTTTTAATGCTGAAACTGACTTGTGACCGACTACTCAGATATGACAAAAAAATTACAAGTGGTAGAGATGAAATTAAATTTTTGGCGAAGCGAAAAGACGAGATAATAGTTGCTTGCGTTTCTGTAGGATTAATATTTAACAAATTATTGTTAGTCTAGTCAGATGAATATGTTGATGGATAAAATTATTAATGCAGTCATCTTCACATTTTGTAAGTGACATGAAAGGAAAACGAAATATTGGTGTATATGGAAACCAGAAGAGGGCCTAAGATGGACCCATGTGGAACTCCAGAATTAACAAAGCAAATATCAGACACTGATGATTTGGGGTATAAAAATGCTCATCTATTCGGTTTGCCGGTACTAATGATAGTTTACGGACAGACGCGTTTCATCCGTCAACGAAGTCAACAGTGGTGTCAACAAACTGACAAGAGTTCATTCTTCCATCCAACCGTTAATTTTGTTCATTGAACTATGGATTTTTAAATATTGCCCACTGATTTGTTTTTGTGTATGCAAATAGTTTGTCCTATTCTTCGGTCTGAACGGACAAAGTGAGTACCCGCGGTTTTTGCAGAAAAACTAAGACCGCAGTCG